GTTGGGTTTCTTGTTTGTTTTTCACTCAAGTCAAATACCCCTGAGAAGCCAATGGAAGCTTAAACACTTCAGCGCAGAGAGAGAAACCTGAACATCTTCACCAAAGCTCCGAACAGCGTCTGGATAGAGCCCACAGGTACACAAACCGAGCCGTAGGAAAGGCCTAAAGTTCTGGGTCAGGCTGTTAACGCTAAAGTATTTTAGGAGCGATTAATTTGCAGAAACAAATGTATGTTTCTAAAGTTAAAAATCAGCTTTCCGTAGGTAGTTAGAATGTTACTTCATTAAGACGTAAGCACAAAGGAAAAAAGAAATGTATCTGTTTGGAGGTACCGAGCTAATGATTTCTTGATTGCGTTTGACTCTCTCCATCTCTGGAGTGACGGGTGTTGGGGTCACTTTCCCCACATTTTCTTTGTACAAGACCTACGGGATACAAGGGCGTACCCAGACGTCACCAAAAAGGCACCGCCACCAAAGGAAGCCCCAAACCACACCGCCAGACAGGACCGCTCTCGAATCGTTAACGCTCAGGAAGGGTTAGGCTGGGGGCGCGGTGCTGCTCCCAAATGCGGCGGCGGGAGCTTTGCTGGGAGGCAGCAACGGACCCTGTCTGGAATCAGCTCTGCACAAAAGCACGCTTGTGGTAAGAAAGGGTTAAAAAAGTTCCAGAGCACCATTATCCATCCCCCAAAAAAAAAGGTCAAACCTCCTTCTAGTAAAACCCTGCTCCCGACAGCGTTAAGCAGAAGCGACCGTGGTGGTTTGGAGGCGCGGACGGTGGGGGTTAGGCTCCGTGGCAGGTTCCTTCTCTAGGGTTAGGAAGCACAGCTTAAACCGCTACCGTGCTGGTAAACGCTTCGCCCAGCTCCTTAGGAACTGGTTTCCTGTCACAAGTACCGAGCTAATGATTTCTTGATTGCGTTTGACTCTTTCCATCTCAGGAGTGACCGGAGTTGGGGTTGCCTTCCCTATGTTTTCTTTATACAACACCTATGAGACACAAGAAAGGAGCCAAAGAAAGCAACAATAAATAAAAAGCTGTCCTTCCACAAACTTCAAGCCTAAGGCACTTGTTTTTCTTGTAGTTATTTTCTCGAGGCCTAGGCATTATCTATATTTTCAAAGAAGGCACGCAGCAGTATTTTACCAGAGAAGCAGGGTTTGGCACACTGGCTTTTTAACTACAGCTCACTCGTCATAAACAGCGTTAAGTGAGTACCACATACAGGACACCACAAAAATACCCTGTTGAGGGGCTGAGGAGGTTATGAAGATGTAAATTATAATTTTTAAATGAAAGAACGTCAGCGTTGCAGAGAAAACGAGTGGGGTTTAAGTGTTTTTAGGATTAGGACAGGGCATTAAAATCACTCTGAAAACCTGTAACAGGTTAAGGTCACCACCGTACGCCGCGGTAAGACGTGAGTAAGGAGGGATCACCCAGGTCAGCTGCTAGGGTCAGCACTGGTTTGGAACGAGTGTTACAGCACCCATTGATTAAAACTGTTAACATGTTCCTTTAAACAGAGTTAAGGGAACGGATTTTTTTTCTTAGCAAAGTACCGAGCTACAGATTTCTTGATTGCGTTTGACCCTCTCCATCTCTGGAGTGACAGGAGTGGGGGTCCCAGTCCCCACGCTCTCCTTGTACAACACCTGTGTGGTAACGAGAAGCATCCAAAGACAGAATCACAGCTCAGCAATAGTTACACCCACCGTGAAGTCGAGCATTTGAGTCTGCGGGAGCTCAGTCGGCTCTAACGGGCCCTAAAAGCTACCCCGGGAAGCCAGGAAGGCTGGGGGGCGCCCCTGAGGGTCGGAAGGCCGAGGGGGTCTGTGGTGTTCTCTTAGCAGGGGCCACAAATCCAGCCCAGCAGCCCCCTGCGTCATATTTTCGTGGTGGAGGAGAGCTTTTAGAGGGCCACGGGAGCCCGCTAGAAAGTCAGACCCTCCCTCTTCTACGAGAACAGCATTAAACCAGGAAACAGATAGGGTTTTTTTTTTAAAAAAACAACACGTATGAAAGAAAAAGGAAGTTGGAACAGGGAGCAAAATGGTTAAAATATTTAGGGTAATGTAAATAATTACTTATAATAAGAAGTGTTAGGTCAGTAACGCTGGGAAATACAGTACAGTGAGGAAGAAGATGTTTTTATAAGTTGATTACATGGGAGTAAGGAGGGGATTCGTTCAATTTTAATAAAGGTTAAAGAGTTCCGTTTAAGTGGAGTTAAAGGGAGTGTAGTTTTTCCTCCACAAAATACCGAGCTAATGTGTTCTTGATTGCGTTTGACTCTCTCAACCTCGGGAGTGACAGGTATCGGGGTTCCTGTCCCCAGATCCTCTCTGTACAACACCTGTGGGGTGACAGGGCGGCGTTAAAGACAGACACACGGAACGAGCCCACAGCAGGAACACGCAGCTTGCTGGGAAAACAGACTGCACTTTTTTCAGAGTCGCTCCAAAGTTGGGAATAAAAGAGACCGATTCAAACGCTCCTCAGACCCGTACGGCTGAGCACCACCACTGCCGCCGCTCTTTGCTTCCCGGGAGCTGTGCGGAAACACCCTCCGTGCAACAGCAGGCCTTAAAGGCTTCCTGAAGGCAGAACTCATGGGAGACAACACAAAAGGAACAAAGAAATCGGCTCTGCTTCCTTTACCCCGTCCACGAACACCGCAGCAGGTTGCACTGGCACGTGCCAGAGCACTGTTAGACCGAGGCCGTAGGCACAGGTTTGTATCAGGCGCTGAAAAGTTTAGGTCTCATCCATTAAGTAAGTAAAATCGGGGAAAAAAAAAACACCACACAAACCAAAAGGAAGGATTGTTGTGACTAAGAAAAGGAAAACAGGGTGGTTTTTACAAGCAAAGAAAAAAATAATTAAAAGATAATCAGACTCAAAAGAAAGGTGGAATTAAAAGGTATTATTAGGATGATGTAATAAAAAAAGAGGAACAAGACCGATGTAAGTAACGATTAAGGAGGAAAAAAAAAGCCTCAAAGGGACCAGGATATTATTCTTTGTGTAAGTTGATTATAAGGGAGCAAGAATATCTTTTTGCACGTTAAAAGTATTTTAAAATACATTAAAAGGGAATTTTCTGCTTTTCAAATCAAAAAATACCGAGCTAAAGTTCTCTTGATTGCGTTTGACTCTCTCAATCTCAGGAGTGACAGGAGTGGGGGTTCCTGTCCCCAGGTCCTCTTTGTACAACACCTGTGGGGTGACAGGGCTACATTAAAGGAAGAAAAAGGAACAAGCGAACAACCGCACCGCTCTGTCTGCTGGGAGAACACGCAGGTGGTTTGCTGAGATGCCCTGAATAAATAATGGGATTAAAAAAAATATCCATAGAAATGAAACACTAGATTAAAACTCTGGGGCTAGAGTTAAACACTAACGCAGCGGTGTGGCTCCTGCCGAACGCCCCAACACCTCCCCGACGGACGCGCTTCGCGAGGTGGACGTTGAAAACTGGTGCGTGCTCAGGAGACTGAAGCCCTACAGAAACGATAACGACGTGTGTTACTGTCTCCTCGCCAGCAGCACTGGAGTCGCCGCGCGACCAGGTCCTCACGCGCCTTCCTGAATGTTCTTCTGGCCGCACACCCCCCCTCGAGGAAGAGTCCCCCCCGCCCCGAGAACCCAACCACCGCTTACAGCCAGAGATCGTCCCAGGGAGGGACGGGGACGCACGGCGGTGACGCGGGCGCGGGTGGGAGCGCGGTGCCCAGGCCGTGACAACCGCTGGAGCTCTCCTGTCTCACCGGCACTTCCCTCGCCCCGAGAAACACCCTAACGCTACGATTCCTTTTTACCCTGCGAGCCTGCGCTACCAGCACGTCTAGAGCCGTCTGGAGACTGGGGCCACCGTCTCCGTGCAACGGTATTAAAGGCTTCCTGAAGGCAAACCCAGGGCAGAAGGAACAGAGGAATCAGTTCCGTCCCATTCCCCCCTTCCGCGAACGTCGCACAGCAGGTTGCGCTGGCCCGTGCCAGAGCACCGTCGTAGCCACAGGTTCGTATCAGGCAGTAAACAGTTTAGTTTTTATGGGTGGTAAAATCAGGGGGAAAAAACCCAACAACCAAGGATTGACGTGATTAACAAAAGGAAAAGTGAGTATTAAAGGAGAAAAAAGGATGTTCAGGGTCAAAAGCAAGATGGAAACACAGTCTAAAAGTTATCATTAGTGAGATGATCTAATCAAAACAAAGTAAGTAACAATAACGGAGGAAAAAGGTCAAAACATAGGGAACAGGATAGTCTTTTTTGTGTAAATCGATTACAGGGAAATACAAGAGTATTTTTTTTTGGTGGTGTTATTTTTCAAGTAGATTAAGAGGGAAATTGCTGCTTTTCAAATCAAAAAATACCGAGCTAAAGTTCTCTTGATTGCGTTTGACTCTCTCAATCTCAGGAGTGACAGGAGTGGGGGTTCCTGTCCCCAGGTCCTCTTTGTACAACACCTATATGGTAACATGGGAGTTTAAAAAAAGTTAAGAACAAAAAAAAAAAATAAATAAAATAATGCATTTGATGGAGGTAACACATGCAAATTTTATGCCCACAATTATACCAGAAAGCAGGAAAAACTAGGAAGTATAAAACACTTAACGATAAATGCAGAGGAAGCCTTCTGATAGCTAGAAATACTGCACCTAATTCTGAGGTGGGCTTCACCAGGACCATAAAGCATTAGAGGAATGGAATTAAGGAAATAAAAAACCCAAGGTGTTTTAAAAATGCAAACTACCTTAAGCTTTGCAAAAAAGAGCTTTAAAAATTAAAGGACACGAAGCAGCGTTATGATTATAAAAAAATCTTTAAAAAAAAAGTACATTAAATAGAACTGACTAAATTTCATAGCAGAAAAGGGATGTTTCTATGTTTATAGGTTAATTAGAGAGAGTGGAAAATTTCCAGGTGTTAAATAGTTACAGGGAACTTTCTTAAATGACAAAAAAAATACCGAGCTAAAGTTTTCTTGATTGCGTTTGACCCTCTCCATCTCAGGAGTGACAGGTACTGGGGTTCCAACCCCCAGCCCCTCTTTGTACACCACCTGTGTGGCAACAGGGAAGCATTGGGGAAAAAAAAAAAACAAAAAAAAAAGAAAGAAAAAAGGAAAGGGAAGGGAAAAGGAGGACAGGGAGGAGAGAGAGAGAAGAGAAGTAATTTAATATAGTGAAACTTCAGAGTATGAAAAAAAAAATAGAATTTTGTCAGCCTTGTTCAAAGGCCAGGGAAAAAGTCCGTGCAAATAATCAGCTGATATTGCTGCGATGGTCGGCGGCGTCTCGCCTCGGTGTGCCCAAATCACACCAGCAAGAGCCGCAGGGGTGTTTGGGGCCGAGCACAGCTTGAGCCCAGTTACCCCAGAGCTCTTGCGCAAAGGGCTTTCCTTGCTCAAACAAAAGATCCCGCACGAGCAGCTCTGTCCCTGGGGTTTCTGGAGAGGCTCACCAGCACGAGCGAGCTGCGCCGGCCTCGGAGGCAGCCGAGCGCGGCAGAGCGTTTAACGACAGCGGCCCCTCTGAACTGCCCTGTTAGCCTCAAGTCAGGACCGAATTTCCTATCTGTCATGGCTCAACGGGGTCGGAGCGAGTCAAAATTAGCCAGAAGCTTCTCTAATTAAACCAGAAATACAGAACAAAACGATGACGTAATATCGTTTGACTGGAATACGTTAAGAGTAGAAACAACCTAGAGACAAATTCATTAGTGCTGTCATTTTTCCCTATATACGCCATTTTCATCATTTTTTCGTATCGCAGCAACACGGGGATGCCACCAGGTTTTCTGGCAAAGACCTGTAGGATATCAGAAAGCACCCGACACAGCAAAACCAGGGGAAGAGGCAGCACACGGTAGCCGCACTGGAGCGCTGCGCTCCGGGAGGCGTTAGAGCTCCTCTTCCACCCGCGGTGCAACCAGTGCGGTGAGTCTGGAGGCTGTTAGAAGGGTGGGCTTGGTTACCGAGGAGGAGGGTGACATCACTCAGCCTACTGCTGTTCCGTGGGGAAGAAAAATCAGGTACTGCTTCACTGCTTTAAGTAAAGGAGGTTAAAATCTCACCGCTGGACCAATTCAATGGCAGTTAAGTTAGACTGAGTGAAAAGTGATAAGGTGAGTGATAAGGATACTGACAGGGTTTTAGTGATCTGATTAAGAAAGGGTTGTTCAAAATTCAGCAAAGAATTAAAAGAAAAATTTAATATGGAGGAGTTAAAGGGATTCGATTGGCATTTGAAACGGTAGGTTTTGGTTTATTTAGCAATACCGAGCTAATGTTCTCTTGGTTACGTTTGGCTCTCTCCATCTCTGGAGTAACCGGTGTGGGGATGCCAGTCCCTAGGCCCTCTTTGTATAACACCTGTGAGGTACAAGAAAGTTTCCACAAAAAAAAAAAAAAAAAAAAAAGCACTCAGCACAAGCAAAACCATTAAATCTGTTTTGTGAGTTATGTTTAGCATTAGGATCACCTTGTAATTAATTTCACACTTGTTCTAGAGGCAAATATTAAAGAAGAGGCCGACGGTTGATTATTCGGTAAATATATCACTACAAAGATAAAGGGTTAAGATAAAACAAACATGGAGAGAAACACCATGTTAATTCTACAGTTTACTTCTGGTTCTTAAAAGAAATGCATGTAAAGTTGTAAATCACCAAAAACCCCCAGTTAAAGCAGCCCAACAGGTGGGCTATAAATGAGTTAAAAATATTGCCGGGAAAAGACAGGAGCAGGGTGAGATTCTAAACCACTGAAGAAAACCAGACTTCGTGTTAGGATGTTATGCAAAAAGAAGTTGTTATAGTTCTTTATATTTTTTTTAAATACCGAGCTAATGTGTTCTTGATTGCGTTTGACTCTCTCTATTTCTGGAGTGACAGGAGTTGGGATACCTGTCCCTAGGTCCTCTTTGTACAACACCTGCAGAACACAAGCACCCAGCAAGGTGAGAAGATCATATTCCTTCCACAAGAGGCACAGTACATTTGGGTAGATAATTTACCTGCTTTATAGGTAAATATAATCTGGGACCTTTCGAGGTCCCTTCCAACCCCTAACATTCTGTGATTACACGTAAATATGCGCACAACTTATTTTACTCCGTGTCCATCTTTATAAGTACAGTCAGGAGCTCAGCAAGGCACTTCAGGTCTGTGTGGAGGTGCCTGAGCACATGGAAGTCGGTGGAAGACTTCATTACAGTAGGACACAGGTTTGAGCTTTCTGCTGGCACGAAAGGTAGGGATGTTCTGCTTTTCATCTTTGTTTAGAAAATCCAATAGTATTACTTTTCAGGCAGTCAACATTTCTGGAGGGTTTTTGGGTTTTTTATGGTGTTAAACACCTGAATCTTTTCCAGACGTATTTAATACAAAAATACTTAGATGTGGGCTCTACTTTGTTTTGTTCTTTGTGACTGGAACATCACTATTTTACTTTTTAATTATCTTCTAAGAAAAAAATTGAGGTTTAACTCTCATATTATTAGGTTTAACTCAACCTGTAATTGTCCGATTTTTAAAAAATTGTGTTTTTCTTGAAAGGAGTTGAGCAGGAGATGCCGGGGTTGGTTTAAAAGCTAACCATGTGAACATACATTACAAATACATTCATAGTTCTTCTTGCAACTAAAAAAATACTTGCAACAAAGCAAGTTAAAATAAAAAACCCCACACTGCTTGATGTCATTGAAACTATGAAAAAAAAGGCAACAAAGCAAAGTAAGGGAAAACAAATCATGTAAAAGTTAGAGAAAAATGAAGAATCATTTGAAAAAACAACTCAATTGTGCAAAAGCGAGCTGTAAAACACATCAGCATCATGAACAGCTCGAAAGGGAAACAGCGCTTATAAAATCAGGCCTGGAAAACCGTAAGATAGTCATGATCGGGGCGTCGCTGCTGCTCAGCATCGTACAGCAAACCTCTGGGGTACCAACAGCCACAAGACCATACCCTGCCTCCGTTCCGTACGCAGAGATCAAAGCGAAGCAGCAGGGGCTCACCATCAGGAGAGCATGCTGTGGGTAAGATCTCCCCTAGGTGGGGGAAGGGGCAGTACTATTTCCACTTCCAGTTGTTACCAGGTTTTGTGACTACAGAAAAGGCTCCAATAATTTCTCATCCGCACAGTTCTGCCTAGCTGATCTTTTCAGACTAATTGTAAGACGTCGTCTGGGTATTTTTTGTTTCCAGTTCTGTGTTTAGAAAGAGTCACGGAAGTAATAACAGGGAAGTGACTAACTGTAACGATTACTGCAAAATCCAGGTGTTTCACTTCCTGCTGCTGACTATAGGGATTCGAGAGATCTGCTCTTTTTTCAACAAAAAGCACCCGCAAACACTACCAAAGGTTGGAGTTTGGGCTCTGCATGAGTGTATAGGTAAAGAGAAAATATCGGCCATTACCGAACTGATGTGCTTCTGCGTCTCCTTGACACGCTTCACCTCTGGAAGATCAGGAATCGGAGTTCCTTTCCCAATACTCTCCTTGTACTTAATCTACAAAGGCACAGGCGTGAGAAAAAGGTCAGAGGATTGACACTCAAGCACAGCTGACTCATGGGTGTTACACGAACAAACAAACACGGGTCCTTTACACTTTACAAACTCATTCAAATCTCAGGTGCTGAACATATCCCGATAGAAATCACGGAGGATCCTTCTGTTAGAGTTACCTCGTAGATAACTCTGCCAGACTTCCACAAAGCACTTGAACGATCACTCAGCTTAGGGTCAAAAAGCAGAGCCTTGTTTGAGCCAGAATTTTGCAATTGAAGCTCAAAATTTGGGTATTTAACATCTCCCAGGAGCTTCCCTTCAGCAAGAACAAACCCCCTGATTTGTAAAAACGGAACCATTTCAAGGTTTCTTACACTGAGTTCCAAAATTTTGTGATACTAAAGATTTAAAATAATTTCTGAAAACGTTAGCCTAACGGCGTTGAAACAGACACCTGGATTCATACGTGGCTACATGAAGGGCATTAACCTGATCTCACAGAGGCTGAAAATTCAAAAGATCTTCCTGGCTTCAACAGGAGCAGAGAGCTGCTCTTTAAGTGCCCCCCCACCACCACTGTTGGGAGGCAACTTCAGCTGTTGAGCTGTGAATGGCACTTTACCAAAAGGGTTTTCTAAAACCAGATGCAAACACCTTTGAACCTGATTCCCTTTGGTCTTTCTACCAAGGAAAGGAGGATTTTGGAATTGTAAAAAACGGTGGGAGTCCTCATACACCACTTTAATGATTACGGTGCTATTTGCACTTCTACTTGGGCGTAACGAAACCGAGAGAACAGCCTTTCACAAGAAAGTATTTAACACGTTGTGCATGAAACAAACAGGTGAAACGTTAGTAACTTCTGTACCAAAATGCTGTCAGCGTTCAAAAAAAGCACGAAAAATATTTCCACATTTCAAAAGAAAAGTAATACATACAATTATTCCAAAGCCCTGCAACAGGGGAGGAAAAAACCCCAGGCTGGGGTACCTGCTGGGGGCTAACTGCAGAGAAGGACCTTGGGGACTTGGTGGCCACCAAGCTGACCATAAGCCAGCAACGCACCCTCATGGCAAAGGCCAACAGCACCCTTGGCTGCATCCAGGGGAGGTGCTGCTCCCTCAACTCAGCAATGGTGAGGCCACGTCTGGAGTCCTGTGTCCAGTTCTGGGCTCGCCAGTACAAGAAATGTATGGACTTACTGGAGTAAATCCAGTGCTGGGCCACAAAGATGGGTAAGGAGCATCTTTGATAGGAGAAGAGACTTAGAGAGATGAGACTCTTCAGCCTGGAGAAGAGTTGGCTCAGGGGGAACTTATCAATGTGGATAAATACGCAGTGAGAAGGAATGAAGAAGAGGGAGCCACTCTTCTCCATAGTGCTCTCTGACAGGACAAGAGGCAACAGAGCACAAATTAAAAACCAGAAAATTCAATCTGGAAAACACTTTTTTTTTTACTGTGAGGGTGGTCAGAGACTGGAATAGGTTGCCCAGAGAGGTTGTGGAGTCTTCATCCTTTGAGATACTCAAAACTCGACTGGACGTGACCCTAGGCAACCTGCTCTAGCTGATTCTGCTTGAGCAACAGAGTTGCAGTAGGTGATCTCAAGAGGTCCCCTCCAACCTGCATGATTGTTTGATTCTGTGCTAAATAAATGGTGTTTGAGATGAGATTAAAATGATGGCGAGAGCTTTCATGGTTTAGAAATGGATTGTAAGTAACAAATTGAATGTTAATCATTAGAAAGATCAAGTAACAAGGAGAGGCCAACACTTGTAGAAAGTAACCCTTAGCTGGTGGGATTATTGCCAAACCATTGTTAGCAACATTTAAAGAAATAAGAGGGGGAAAAATATTATTTCAACTTGAGTTAGCACTGGTAGAGTATTAAAAAAAAAAATCAATTCCTTTGTACCGAGCTGATTGCATCCTGGGTTCGTTTAACTCTCTGCATCTCTGGTGTCTTTTCAATAGTAGTTCCAGTTCCAATATCTTCTTTGTATAAAATCTTAATATTTAGAATGAAGACAACAAGGTTAAGCATACAAAACACAACAGTATTTCTTCTAGACTGGGAGTACAGGCTCATAACAGTGGCTTGTACACAACAGCGCAGGCTGCAAGCCAACTGGGAGGATCACCTGCAGTCACAGCCTTGGGGCGATCTGGTCTGTCCTACCTCAAAAGTGCCATTTGCACACAAAAAAAAGAGGCTGAACATTCATAGTTGTAGTACTGCATTTGAAGTAGGATATCGAAACATTTGTAGGCTAGTTTTAGGATTGAAGACTAGTATTTGTTCTAATTTTTTCCTTTTGTTCTAATTTGTTTTATTCTGGTTTACACAAATGTCTTCCACTTAGTTACGATGCACACGGTGCTGGTGGCAAAGCCACAGAGGGGACTTCGGGCACTTCATGGTAACACACAGAACGTGAAACAAATCAGGCAGATGGTTCATTTTTCACTGAGGGAAGACAGTTGCAACACTACAAGAACACACTACTTACATGGAAACAGGACAAAAGAAAGGTAGGTACTGGTAATACTCATTTAAGTGTTGATTGTTTAACTACGTCACGACTATGTATTTGTGAAAGAGTGCAGTCAGGGCACTCCACAAAAAATCAGCAGATAAAAAGGGGTAGCAAAAGGCAGCTAAATAATTTGTTTTGTTTGAAAAGGTTCTTATACACATTTAAGTAGATCAAGAACATAATTACCTGTAAGATAAAAGCCAAAAATCGTTATTTTATTAAACATCTTAAACTGTATATTTTGGAATGAGAACTGAAAACAGGAAATAACGATACCGAGCTGAAATTCTTCTGGTTTTCTTTCACACGCAGCATTTCTGGTGTGTCTTGTACAACTGTAACTTTTCCTTTACTGTTCTGTAGGTCCCACTGATACTGAAGCTGTCGAAAAAGTTAGAGTAAAATGTCAAATCTTGACTCTATGCCATAAAAATTTACTTACAGAGTTTTCTTTGAAGATGAGGAAAAAAAAAAAAAAGTATTTTCAGGTACACCTCAAGGAGGTCATTTTAACACCACCACTGGTGACACAAAGATGCAGCACAGTTACAAGTAGTCTCATTTAAACCAGCAAAGGAGATCCTGAACTAGATTCACTGAAACACCTTGGAAGTTTCCAGACTGTATCTAAAACAACCAAGTCTCAACAATGACAGTTAAAGAATTCAGGTCAGGTTGTGGTGCCACTGGCCCCACAGTCTTGCACATAGTCCCAGTGACAACAACAGACAACTTCTGCAGGTGTAGATCTCTATTACTTGCGAAGAAATGGTCAAAGCCCTGCAGCAGAAAGCTTTTTCCAGGGAAATTACAGAAATCATTTTGGTTCCCTGTGTAGTGCAGCAGTGGGCTGCTGCGTACGTAGCGGACCCTCTAACAGGACATTCCCGTGAGGATAAGGGCAGCCGAGCTGGGATTAGGGTGTGACATCAGCACCTTATCAAACGAAAAAAAAGCCATACATTTTTTATTGTCTGACAGTAATGGTGTTTATAGTTCACATACGTACTGTGCTAAAGTTCTTTTGATTCTCACGGACTCTCTGCATTTCTGGTGTGTCTGCTACAGGCACATAGTACGGCATGGTCTTCTCTGCATCTTCCTTGTACTTTTTCTGATAGAAAATACAAAATATATTCCATCAATACAAAAGCAGTAATAAACAATCTGACATTACTTATTGTTGCATAACACCCATCTTTATGGAAACGTGAGTACGTCTGTGTCTGATCCAAATTCAGATTATGCCTCTGTGTAAGATTTATTTTAAAATTAGATTATCAAGGAGCAGGAAAATTAAGATAAATATACTTAGAACATAATTAGCTTTGGTACTGTAAAAGTAATAGAAATTATTTTTTCATTATATACAGTATTAAAAATAAATTAATTTCAACATTGAAATCGGATTTCAGAGTAAGAGTTGCCACATCACAGCTCTAGAGAAATTTGTTTTTCGGGTGAATCTCCTGAACGTTTTGACACGTTTGAACGTTTAGGTGCTCCAAATTATCATCCACTCAAGGTTCCCACATGAACAATGACTAAATTGCTTCACTCAAGATACCTGGCTCGAAAGGTTCTTGACCTGCTGGGCATGAATAATCTCTGGAGTATCGACAACGCTGGTGTAGTTGGCTTTCTCCATTTCTGCCAATTGTTTGTATTTGATCTGTCGGGGAACGTTCACATTTAGGTGCCTTTATGGTATCTCGACAACAATTTTCACTTGGTTTCATCAGAAAAAAAACTTTATACATTTAAATGTGTATTTGTAGTAGTGCATTTGAAGTAGGATTTCAAAACATTTGTAGGCTAATTTTAGGATTGAAGACTAGTATTTGCTCTATTTTTTTCCTTTTGTTCCAATTAATTTTATTGTGTTTTACACTAATATCTTCCACTTAGTTACTACGTGGACCGTGCTAGAGGCAAAATGATAGAGCTTTGTTTTTACACATTTTAATGTATATTAGCTTCTTTACATTTAATACATTTAATATATTTTCCTTTAAAGACGACACCAGATGTGGTATGCGAGCTATTCACACAGACCTGGCTGGCAATGTCAGTGGCATTCTTTGCTCTCACGAAATCTGGTGTCTCCAAAGCCAGTTCTGTCAGACCTTTTCCTCTGATTTCCAAGTCCAAGGCTTTTTTGTACTCTTTCTGCAGACGAAGACAGCAAAGAGATACTTTGTCAATGTGAACACAATACCTTTAGCAGCTTCAGACAGTTTTATGACCACACCGCAAAACAGGAACACTACTAATATCAACTCACAATTAAACACACAAATGATATCATCAAAGTGTGTACTTTATGACTTAAATCTTGAGAACAAACTGCCCTACTCCAGCAGTAAATGGAGCACATCACAGGCCAGCTCTTCCTTCTCACACCAGTCATCTCAAAGTCCAAGTTCCTTTGGGTGATCAGAGACTGGTGCAAAGCAATAACTTGTACAGAAGAGAAGCAACAGAGAGCAGTGTATGAAATGCATGTGGTGGTGAAGAGAGGTCACAGATGTTTCACACTGTCCAAACTGCGCAAGGGGTCAGGGTTCCCTGTGACATTTTGGGCCCTTTGGAACAAATACCCTCCCTAAAACCTCAGTGCTGCAGCAGCCACTTTTCCCAAAGAGATCTTCCGCTAAGGTCTAAAAGATTTATTTTGTATAGATTGGCATAATTCCTCTCTCTCGATGCCAACTCTGCTGAACTTAGTTGAATAAGTCTGTAATGCTCTGGTAATAAAATACAGGCTCTTTGAATAACTCAAAAAAACTCTGCACTACTGAGTACAAAATGCTGTTGTCACTAAGGATGCTCATCTTCAGAGTATTCTGTTAAGAAGAAAAATTAAAATTACACTAAAAAGTTACTTTTTTTCAGCTTTCAGCCTGGTGATGTTAAGGCTTTTCAAATATGAGCTAATCCAATCCTAGTAAACAATCACGATGAAACAGTTACTATCCCAGTCCACCAGGTAAATAAAGTAGCCTTCAGGTTTGCATCCTGACTCTCTGCTGGCCCCCTCTCTCCGTCAAAGCGGGGAAGACTGCCTCAGCCATCAGCCCTGGGCAGGGGCAACCGTTCACGAGCATGGCTGGCGTTTCTGACTCACCCGGCAAGCACAAAGTATTCAAAGAGAGCTCTCTGCTGCTCAGCACGCCTCCCAAAGCAGACCTCTGCTGGTCTGGTTCCCTCATTGTAGTCCCTTCCTGATCTCTCGCTTTGCTTCTTGTTTCCTCAGCTTTGGCCCCAACTTCCTAATCCTCGGGAACTGCTCCTGAGCCAAGATGCCCAGGTTGCAGAAGAGACACCTCCGGTTCCTACGCTCAGCCTTGCTGCAGCGCAGCGCTGGTTTAGGCGGCCTCTTGACTGATCGGACTATGGACCACAGCGCCTGTTTCCCATCTGTATTCCTGACAGGAACTGCAAAGCCAGGAAGGAGGTCATTTAAAAGTCCAGGCTCCCCGTTTTATCCTTAGTCACCCATGCCCATTCTCTTTTTTCTTTCTATTCAAGAGTTTCTAGGCGATGACAGAGTTCACACTAGTGTTATACAGCCATAAGCATTGATCAGATGGAGGCTGTAACATCCATTCAGGTATTTTCCCAACAGCTTTTGACATACCTCGTTCAGGATTTGAGTTGCATTCTTCGCTCTTAACATGTCTGGAGTCTCCTCTAAGGCTGTTAATCCTTTTCCTTTGACACCTTCCTCCAGATCCTTCCTGTACTCTTTCTGCAGAAGAAAATGAAAACTGCAAAGCCGGACTAAAGAGAGTTCTACACTCTACAACTTTGTGGCAACAATTTTTTTTTTAAAAAAAAAATGTTTTAAATTCCAGAAGCTCCAAAAGAAAAAATACTTTTTTAAAACAACAAAGGATATTGTATAGGGTTATATAATAACTACTGCAACAGAAGACAGTAATTATTGTTCACGATAAATTGCAAAGGCACACACATACACACCTCGCTATGGAGCAGTTAGGCTGATGAATATCAGAAAGGGACCCAGTAAATACAACTAAAGTTAGTGAACAATGAAATAAATGTCCATGACAAGTTAGATCACAACACAAAATACATGTAAACACACTTAATGTGAGTGGTTAGGAAAAAGAAAGTGTTGAAGAAGAAATGCAGCTGAGGATACTTAGTGGAATTATTTAACTTGACAGAGGAAATAAGCACGGAACAACTGCTACCTCACTCGCTATTTTGGTTGCATATTTGACATGTAATAAGGATGGTGTAATCTCCAGGCCAGTAAGGTTTCTGCCCTTAATGGACTCTTCAAAGTCCTTCTTATATTCTTTCTAATGAGAACAAAAAGAAAAAAGCAAAATAGCAAATATTTATTACATTATCTTTAGTTCCATGAAAAACTACTGGGAGGATGGAGCAGGGGTTTGGTGTTAATGTCACAATGACAAGCTGCTACAGTCAATGCCGTGGGCACCTCAAGCACTAGCGCCCACAGAGCAGCTCCTTACTTCCAGCGGACATATGATCTGACCCTGCCTTTTTTTTTTAAATCCTTTTCTACTCATTTGTACATGCAGAGAAAACACTCAATGGAATCACTCAAACCTAATGACTAATGGCCTTGTACAACTGCTTTTCAGCATGTATAAGCCTTCATCTCTGACAGAATGAGATTATACTTCATACAGACAGAAGAGAACTGCTTGAGGAAACAGAATGGCAGGTCAGCGAAGAACACTACGGCAGTAGAGACAAACAGGAACTAAACGGGTTTCTCAAAACCAGAGCTCTGGAGTGAAAATAACAACCAGGGCACTTTCTGTGGGCTGTGATGGCCAGACACACATACTATACTCACGTTGCAAAAGTTTAAGGGAAATGTATTTCATATTACATTTCTTCTAAAGACTCAAAGACTTGCTTAAGCTTCATTTACTGGTAGCTTCTTGACGAAAGATTACAGATAATACACACTTCATCACGACATGGGACAGCTTCGTGAATTTTACATGTAGTATTCCATAACCAATATAAAGAAATGTAATATAGCTATAATTTTGCAGTCTGTCAGCATGCACAGGATGCAAGTATAGTCGCCTGTCTAAATAATTGTGACAGTTTAACTATAAAAAAGAAATTTTAAGATTTTTTAGTCTGTCAGTATTGATTTTAACCATACCTCACTCTGCATGAGCTGAGATTCCTTTGCAGTGAGGTATGTTGGAGTTTCAAAGTCCAACATAGGTTTTCCTTTTTCCTTCTCATACTTTTCTCTGTATTTCACCTGAGAAGAAAATAAAAATAGTTACCCTCTTTAATCAAAGAACCAAATCATCTAGTATGTGCCTAATCTGCTCAAGAGATCTCTGCTAAAAAATTAACATCTAATGCCGTTTACCTTCCTGAAACCCATATTTCTTGACCATAAAACGTAATATCAAAGGTCAGGCTTACAGCAAAACGTGTGTTGCCTAAAATTCTACTGATTTATTTCCTGTTGCAGAGATTAAGCAGTGTCACTTGGATTTCAGGAATTTGCAGATCACAAGAGGAAGACAGGTAGCTGTAAAACTCTAACTTGAAGGCACTCAGGCTGCTCATGGCCCTGGCTGAGTGCAGCCAGTTGCATGTTAGTGGATTGCTGGAGTGTCAGCAGCAGGGCTTGAAAAGATGCTTTTCTTTTCAAATCACTTCAAAGTGATTTGGTAACTGATTCTGGGCATGAGTGTCCAGGAAGTAAAACATCCACAAGGATGAGGATATTTTTGCTTCAAGTTCCAGTATCCAGCCCTTAGGGCACCAGTTCTCAGACTGCTGCATGCTATGTCTTTGGCCGAGACAAATCTCTGATCTCAAACTGCAGTAACAAGCAGTGACTTAAACTTTAATTACAAACTGATTAACAAACATTTTCTTATAGTCCTTTGCTGTGTAACCTTTTTGCTCTTCCATGCCATGCAGCAGAACAGTAACTATGGCCCTCTGTGTTCTACCAGTAATTTCTCTCTTGCTTTACAGCCAATAAATACGTGGAATAGAGAGGATTAGAGACCAAAGCAGAGTATGAATTTCTCTGGAATGATTCTCCATTTGCTGTATTCCAGAGGGTAAAAGTGTCAGGCACATTTAATAGCAGCAGTCAGTATTGTTTTGGTTAAAGCAATTTTGGAAGCAGAAAAAGAATGGCGGAGCTCTCTTTGTATCCCTTGAAGTTAGAATGGATAAAGCAGTTGAAAATACACTGTCAGCCACAACCCTACTTCTTTCAATTTCCAGGTTCTCTGATTATCAGCTCCTTTTATCTACCGACAAAGTCAGCCTGACGGATGTATTGCACTGTGTACAAAGATCCATATATAACAGGCGTCGGTAACTTTGAGATCTACTCTAGAATCGAGAAGTCATACAAGTATTTTATGTGTGTTCCAAACTTGCAAATACTGACTTTGGTGAGATGTGCAGTGTTCACAAAGCAGACAGGCACGGAGATGGCGATATACTGGAGAATTTGCTAGGATGACGTTCAGTGACGGAGGTTGGTACTCAGTGAGGGGGTTAATGAGAAACACGTGACCAACTTACGTGGCTCTGTAGTTCTGATGCCTCCCTTAGATGAACCTGTTCAAGATTATCTGGCACCACATGGTAGTGACCCTTACTCTTCTCATATTGCTTCTTGTACTGGTACTGAAGGGAAGGTGTCAAAAATCATCTCAATAAAAAAAAAATCCCTCAGCAAATTTACTTCTTAGGTCCAATCAAAGCAACACTTCAATGGAACATCAAAGAGAAATTAGAAATACAAAAAGGAAAACAAAACCAAGAAGTTTAACTCCCCGTATCAGATAGAACTTCTAAAGACGTGGGTGAACATTTATCTTTTTTTTGACCATTTTGATTGCAGCAAAGATTTTTTCCAAAACCAGGATTAAAAAAAAAAGAAATAGAAAAAAAGAAAACTGTGGATACATGAAAAGGCTGCACAAGGCAATAACACATTTTGTCTTTTCTCAGTAAAATTATCGAGTATTTTGTTAGACATAATCTGTACATCTGCTACAGGGGGATGTTAAACAAACATGAAATGAAAAAAGCAGACAAAAATAAAAAATTTAAATATATTAAGCAGGAAAGAAAAAAGTAAGGAGAAAAAAAAAGAGAAGAAGAAAATGGTATTTGTTAGTGTAATGCAATCAGTTAAAATGTAATAAAGAATCGATCCACTAAAAATTATTAGAGGATTTAAAATATTAGCAGTTCTAGAGCTAATAAAGAATCTGCTTCCCAGGAGACAGATGTGGCAAAGTTGCTAGTTAAGTCGGAAATAATCATTAGAAAGGAGAGGAAGAGATCACTACCAGGTGATGTCCCATGAACAATAACAGAGGGAGTAATTGTTACAGAAATAGTTAGCAGAGATCAGTTCAGAATAGAACCAATAGAAATGGAAAACGCAAGTGGAACTGGGATTAGTTAACGAGCTTACAGCACTGGCGAGCTGGCTGGTGCTCAGGACATGGTTCATGATCAGCGATTCAGACATGTCTGTGACAGGCTTATGAAGTTTCTTTAAATCCGCCTTGTATTTCACCTGCAGGTAAGGAGAAACCACATCAGAAAAGGAGACTGCTAATAAAACCTGTGGTGTTGAATGGATTAATAACAGAAAGGAGGGGTTTGTTAAACAAATAGGAAACAATTTCCCTAAGGGAAAAGCACAAGCAAAGGTACCTCGCTAGCCATGTTGTGAGCATCTTTCATGGTCTTGTAGATTTTCGCCTCCTTTAAATCATACTTTGGCTTTTTACCCATGTCTTTGGCGAAATTCTCCTTGTATTTCACCTACATTAAAAAACAAGCAGGTTTAACAACTGTTCTTGAGCATTCACTTGTTTGGCTGCACAAGGCAAAGAGGCTTCAATGCTGATGGTAAGCAGAACAACGAAAACGTAGTAACTTGAAGGCATCCCCTGGAATAAAGGCTATTTTAAAGATGATCTGACATGGGAAGAAAATCTACATCTGTATTTACAAAGCACCGCTTGCAATTTTTCGTTCAGCCCACAGGTTACACCTCCTCATTGCAAAAATAATAGACCCAGTCAAGAGAATTACGTTGACAAAACACAGCTAAATTTTGACCCTCGGAGATGAAGAATTTTGCACTTGATGGGAACTACACATAGACAAAAGATGCCCTGTTTCACAAAGAGACAAAAACTGACACACATAAAAAGAGTAAAAGAATATTTTACGTACTTCTTGGAGAAATATGACCTATAAGAACTACCTCAAGATGGCAATATATCCAATATTTCCACATACACTGTTATACGCGTACTGTGTTCTGTATAAATGAAGAAGGATGCCAATGGTCACAGGGAGAGCAGCGATACAGCTAATTACTAGGGATTAGATTACTCAAGCAGCTTAGTAACACTTCCAAACCACATTAGCCTCAGCAAGGTAAACCATAGCGACGTGAGGCACAGTAACCCAGCAGACCCAGGCTTGAGGCACAGGAATGTCTCCAAGAATGAGAGTTTTGCTAATGACTTCAACAAGGGCAGGTCTTCATCCGTCACGACTTGTCCCACAACACTGCTGCAGGTCCAGCTAAAGGCTAATTCCTCACTGTTTCTTGTAAACTTACAAAAGGGACATTTCCATTAGGAATATTTTGCATTTATTGCTTTTTTTTTGCTATCAGAGGTGGATAAATTTGTTTCAGAAGAGTTACTGAAGAGTGCAAGAATAACTCGAAGTATTAAAGATTAAGTTCTAGCTTATCTAAATGGTATGCTCCTCATCAGCATTACAGTAAACATCAGTAGAAAAATTCCGAGGATTTGTCATGTCTTCCCTGTAGTTGTACTGTGCCTGGTCTGGAAACAAGGGAGGCAATGTTTCTTTCTGTTTACCAATCCACATTTCCTTGGAGATATTTTATACTAACTAAACTAGCAACCCCCATCCCTGGTCTAAAGAACAAGAACTGAACGACCGTCATCAGTCTTTCTGAAAGAATTGGTTCAGGACCAAGGTAATACTTGTAAAAAGCATGCAGAAAATACAGGATGTGGCTGAGGAGGAAAAAGGATTAATGGTTCTTCAGAAAAAACTTGATCGCCCGTGCAATATTTAAGTGAAAGTTGAAATGAAAGATACTGAAGAACTGATAACTAAGTTGAGGAACAGCTGACTCATGCTGGAGGGGTTTTTATGACAAATGCAGAAATGTAAACAGATAATTTTATATTAGTAAAAAAAGAAAGATGATGAAATGTAGAATTAATCACATTCCACAATCACACTTTGAGTTCATCGTCATATTCTTGTCCACACAGCACCACATGGCTCATGCTGGATAAACACTGTTGCTCTTTTGCTTTGCAAAACGTGCCAACATTCAGATAAATCACAGTGGAACAGAAAATTCACAAATTATACAGCTGCTGTAAGAGAACAAAGAACATTAGCATTTTTGACATAAAGGTATTGGTTCTGACCTCGCAAAAACGAAAACCAAGCAGAAGTAAACGAGAATCTGTTCAGTTTTGCAAGCTATGCCACGTATGAGCAAGATCAGACCATCATGCCAAAGAGTTCACTTTTTTAAGCGCAGAAGAAGTGTTACTGAAAGGTCTGTGCAAAATTAAAAGCAAGCACGCCAGACAGGCAGAGGAAATCCAACTTAAAAAAGGCAAGTGGACAAACAAACTGGACATAATGCTTTATAGAGGAGAAGTCTATAAGAAGAAATGCTTAAGAGAAAAAAAAAGTTCAAGATTATGCCAGTTATTCTTTGCTCCCTTATTGACTCCACAACAGTTAATTTTCTCTCATAACCAAAATAATCTCATCAACGTGTGTTTATAAGATGAAGAGGAGAACTGGCGGGCACTGGAGCAAGAGCATGGAAAAGGAAGGTCTCCTTATCACCGAATGGGTATGAATGTAACTTCTTTTTCTTGGAGTTCAATTGTTCAGTTTAAGAATCCTTGGTTCTACTGACAAGATTCTTGGTTTTCCTGACAAACACAGTGGCCGACATTCAAACATGCGACACGTACGTGCAGCAGTCATGGCTAGACATGGAGAAACCATAATCCTCCTTTTTTCATTTGGAAATACGTGTGTAAAACTGAAACAGCACAGATCTGTCCGCTGCCACTTTAAAAACTACTATGCAGCCATCTTTTTTTCTCTTTTCCAAAGGTTTTGAGATGGCAAGAAGCATAAGAAATTATGTGCCCTCAAATCATGCCAGGATACGCTTCTCAGAGGCTCTGGGGCTGATTCAGTCATATGCTACAATGTGCTGGAACAGCATAATGGAGAATAGAATCGTTTAAATGAAGTTTGAACAGAAGTTTGAACAGTTAAATGAAGTTCTGGTGTGAATGTTACGTACATGGTATGACTGTTCGCTGAAAATTACCAGCGTCATCGTTCACGTTTGTCATACACGTGTATTTCCATTTTTTGCACAGTTCCAGGAAAACCAGCTCCAGCTTATATGTTTTGGGTTAGGTTTTTTGGGTGAAAAAGGTGCATTGGAAACTTCCATTAAAAACACTGGTAGTTCCAAAACCATTACGAAGGGTATCATAACGTTTCAAGCTTCATGCGGTGTTTCTGAAACAGGCAAATTCCTCACCCACAGAATTCCCATGCACGGTCTTTCGAGAGGAAAAAAACCAAGGTCACGTCTAACTTTTGCTACATTCAACAGCTTTGACACAAAAAGATCCAGTGCAACTGGTGCATCATAAACCCTTTAACAGCTTGGAATTGTAAGATAATATGCAAGCAAAGAGACAGATGCATAAAAATGGCATTCCCAGATGTGTGACTTAAAGTTCTCTTACATGACTACTTAGCATATTAGCTTTCTTAAAGGTTCTCATCCATGGGGTATCATAAGATGCAGCTCCATGCCCTCTCATATGTCGTTTGAGGTATTCTGCCTATAATGCGTAGCAAGAAAGCACGATCAGAAATGCAAACAATTACAGTATTCAAGCATGAACTGGTGAGAAAGAACCAAGTTGAACTGAGGTCCTGGTGGAAAAGTGCTGTCACAGAAAACAGCAAGCATGTGCTTCAGACTGATCGGAGAACACGACCGTGGTGTAAATGTAAGCAAGCGTCTACTAATGTAACACAAAACCAGAAGGTTCTTTTAAAGGCACAAAGTAGAAAGGAAGTGGCTGAAACAAACTAAATGGCTGTCTCAAAGGATGGGTAACAACAGCTAGCTTAAAGGCTGCTTCTTGTAAAGCCAATACCCAGAAAAGCTAAAAAAAAAAAAAGAGAAAGAATACTGCTAACACTTCAGCCTTTGTATTTATGGATGGTTCCATACCTCCATTACTGACATTTAGTAAGTCAGTAGAAAAGTTTATTTAACAAAGAAATACCTCGCATTAGGATTTAATTTTTACTTTAATACGTTCCCTTTAAAATATTCCCTTTCCCCCAATATAAGAATAATCGCAGTTATAATGCTAGCACCGCTCTGTAAGTTACTATCCTGTCTCGTTTCTCTCACTGCTTCAAAGTGGCACCAACTTTTTATTATTACCTGGCTAGTCAGCTTGGACACCTCCTTTGCCAGTTCAATATCTGGACGGCCCAGCATGGTTACGCCAATGCCAGCTTCTCCACGCTTCTTGTATTCAATCTAACAAAGGGGGAAAAAAAGTATGGTTTAGTAGTGATGACTTTCTCTTTTAATTATTTAGTGACACTGTTTTTAATAGTAAAATTACTGCTAAAGCATTATACAGAAAACTTAAAAACCACTTACATCACTAATTAACTTGGCAGCCTGAGTTGCTTTCTTAATATCTGGTCGATCTGCGATAGGTGTGTAGTGGAGCTTTGACTTGGCATCTTTCTTGTATTCAATCTAATCGATGGTGACAGACAGAGGAAAGAAAATTACCGAGGTTTGTTCATGAGGAATATACCTTATAAGGACATAGCAATGTTGCTGGAAAAGCGCATAGTTTGGGGGCGTGTTTTTAAAATAATTTCATAAGGAATGGATTTGGGAATCTGTTCCTGCAAGTTGCCTACAAATGAAGAAATAAGCACTTGCAATTCTGTCTGTATTTGAAGGAATGAAGAAAAATATTAGAGGTGATTTACAGCAGGTTACTTTAAATCCCACCACGTGATTAAGTAGAAATAGGATTTTCAAAGAAGTGTTTTATTTCAGTGCAATTTTACCTTTGTAAATATTTGCACCTTTATCTTTCAGAATTACACCTGAACACGGAGGCTGGGATGAAATCCAAAAGTACGTGAACTTTTGGTTTTGCCAGCTGGCTTTGACTGAATCTGCTTACACAAGCTACTTACTTCACGAAAAGACAAGACAAACTTACTGTACTCTGTTTTTTAGCAACTTCCATGGCATGTTTCACTTCAGGAGGCTCCAGCATGACAGAATAATTGGACTTGCCTTTCTCCTTCACAAACTTCTTTTTATAGTTTGTCTGTTAAGAGCAAAAAGGGTCATGTGTGATATTCTTTTCTGTTTCACATGGAGATAAACGCTACTGAAACTTGGAAACAAGCTCAGTGAAACTGTTAAGACAGATAAAACTGTCTCCTCAGTCCCCAAACGTATGGTCCCCAGCTTGTTTGTCAGAATTTGCACTTTAGATTACAAAAGCTTGCTATTTGGAGATAACAGTTTGGGTTTAAACTGTGTTCTATGAAAAATAATATCTGAATTAAGAGCACCCGTTAGAACTCCAGCCCATCACTTTTCTCCAGAGTATTTTGACAGATTCCTAATAAAATGTGTTTCACTCTTTGTTAAAGCCTCATTCTGGTAGGAATTAATCTTTTCTGACTCCTTGGGCATTTTACAATGAGGCTCCGAATGTGTTGCACGTACACTAAAAGATGCAGCAGCCTAATCAATGTTAGGCAGCAGGTAAGAATCTGACCATAAATTGCTGTCACACTATTTCCTTACCTCACTGACATTCTTGGTCACCTCTTTCACATGAGCAGTGTCTCGTGTCTCTGGCAGGGTTGTGTAAGACCCATGTGGAAGCTGCTTCTTGCTATATTCTTTGTATTTGTTCTGCAAGCACAGAATAAAAACAGGTAAAATCAGCAATGCAAGCCCTGCCCCTGCCCCCCACACCTCCATATTAAAAGGATGTACTTAAAATGAACAGGTAACTCCCCAATGTCTTACCTCAGATACAAGAGAGCTGACATTCTTAGCCAGGAGGATCTGAGGTGTATCTGGAACAACAAGGTACGTTCCTCGAGCTTTGTTGTGCTTCTCTTTGTATTTTATCTGGCAGGAAGCAAAGGTATCATTTTAAGCAGCGTGTATCTTGTCGTGTGGCAATTTAAAAATAAATTACTATAGCTGTGCACGCCTGGTAGTGCAAAAGTTTGCAGAAAAATCCCATCTTTTGATGTTTTCCAAGGTAAATTTATTCCAGTCTATATATTCTTATAGCTCTCACTTTGAATTTTATTAATATATTGAATGTTATTATATTGTTAGTAATTCTTAAAGATACGTTGTGTTATGCACAAATTATACCTGCAGCTTTTTTTGTTGTTTCCTCCAGATAATATTTTCATTTCAATAACAGGAATGCAGAGATACACCGCATGTCTAGGCTGTTCAGGCACTGTTAGCTTTGAATATTTATTGAAGCCATGAACTAGGCCAGTGACATTTACAAGACCAAATTTATTCAGATTTTGCCAATTTGTTAATGAAACAAACAAGTCAAATCAAATAATGAAGTGAGACTGAGGAAAACTTTTCAAAGCTTCATTCTTAATCCGATCATATTTCCAATAAAACAGTTTATGTATTACGTGAAGTTCTAGTAGAATGAAAAAAGTGAGTGTTCCAGTGCTTACATCACTCGCCAAGATGGCATTATTTAAGGCCAATACTGTGTTTTTATCATCTGTGACAGAGAGTTTGCATCCCTTTAGGAATTCCCGGTCCAGTTTGTATTCATACTGCAGGAAGAAAAAAGAAAAGAGAGTCTCAAATCTCCTACTTTTTTTTTTTTTATTATTTTTTTTTATTTTATTCTGAACCTGAGAGATGTGGGGAAAGGGAGCGATCAGTTTGTTCTGATTTTCTTACATCACTCTGTTGCAGAGATGACTTGGCTGCTTGAACGAAGTCAGGCCTATCAGCGATCCAGTGCCAATGAGCCTTGGCTGCTTCATATTTCTTCTTATAATCCAGCTGTTTATAGTAAAACAAGCAGAAAAAAAGAAGTTACTTGGAAGTTGCGTGCCGTAATGTGACATTCATACCGATGCAACTTCTCTTTCAGTCTGTACCAACTAAAGAGAGAAGAGGTAAACAAGTGCATCTACATCAGACTAGGGCTTTCCTCTGAATCATGTACAATCCAGCAGGAGTTCATTTACTCTAGTTTTTCCACTGCTAGGTGCAGAAAGGAACATGAATGACTGAAAAGATGTCATGACTTGGAAGAAGGTGCGTGCTTTTGGTTCCTTGCCTATTGAAGTGGATGATGGGCCACCGATAGTAGAAAACACAGGAGAGCTTCCCGTGAAGCGATTACTTTGTCTACAAGAACATATAATTCACAGAGAATTTCTGGGACCGCGATTTGTCTGTCAGGAAAACAGAGGGGGACTAGAAGAACAGTGGATGGGTGACATACAAAGATGCCAAGTGAACTCAAGGACAACTTGCAAGAGCGAGCACTTTAGTATGAAATAAATTAAAATATATTTTATTCAAGCAGCATAAGAATTAGAAGCAACGTCCAAGCTCAAGAAGTTTCAGTGGAACAGAAAATAATTTCTCCCAGTCTCTGTTGCCAGGCCCAAACAGTATCCATAATAAAATCAAAGTATTAATAAAACTGAACTCACGTTGCTGTTTAGCTTGTAAGCGTGCCTTGGAGTCTTAATATGAACTGAATCTGCTATGACGTTGCAGTGAGATTTATTCCGCTCATACACTTCTTTGTATTTCAGCTAAAGGAAGGCAAACACAAGAAATGGAAACAAAGATAACATCATTATCAACAAGAAGAGCAACAAAATACAAAAAACATAACGTTAAAGATGGCTCCTGTCAAGATAAAGTCTTAACAGAAGAAAAAGAAATTACATTAATACCACTTGGCATCAACCATCTGCCTGAAAGAAGGGTCCTCTTCAGCAGCAGTTCTCTTGAATTAGAAAATGTAGCAGGTATAACTCACCATGAAGCACAGGCTAAGATTTAACAAAACCTCCACATGAACAGAAGTTCTGCCTGTTTCTAGTTTTATTGCACACAGTAGAAATGCTTTAAAGAAAGTTATCTTCCGAGAGGCACGTTCAATGCTTTCTGAAAATTCCTTTATAGAATCTCAAATTCAACACTCAGTTTGGAACCGGAAAGATGAACTTCGACTCACGGATCGCTTTTGAACATCTTTGTCCCTTCATGATCCATGGTAGTATCTGGATAACATGGCTATTTTTTACTCCTAGCTTTACTCATTATATAGATAATCCATGTAGCACCTGAACGATTTTCACGCTACTTACTCTCACAGTACATTACTGAGTTACAGGAGTGCTAGTATCCTCATTTCATTTATCTAAGGAACAACAATATGAAGGTCAGAGAGAAAGCCTAGGGTAGGAAAAGGAATCAGGACCAGGACTCCCAAATCCTATCACATTATTCTATCCACTGTCTTCCTTTCTCTCTCTTTTTAGCCTTTCATTGCCCCAGAATCAAAACACATTAATTTTAGATCAGAATATTTACCTTACATATTCACAATATCGACAGAAGTAATGAATAAACACAGTAATGTGTTGAGTACCTTGTTCAAGGCTTCACAAAAGCCACTAGCCAACAGAGGAAGAAGACCCAGAACCAACCTCCCCAGATCCATGCCTTAATTAGACACCAGTGCCAGCCCACAGCTTTTATTACTAGTGAGGGCTGCTCTACCCCAGCAAAATGTTCCAAGAGCTGCAGAGCAACATTACACAGAACAACATCCTGAACACTGTCACACTCTGGGGGGGGTTTGAAAAAGCATTAAGTACATATGGAGTTTTACATGCAACTAAAACCAATACACGCTGACAAGAAGCTATTTTTTTAATGACAGTGTAACATATGAGTTTAAAGTATTGCATATCAAAGTAAAAAAAATTAATTGTGTGTGTCTGATACCACAGGCAAGGTGATTTACTTACATCGCTTATTCTGTCCTTGACCTTGCGCACGTGCAATAGCATAGGGGTATCATGGATCGTAGTATAGCCTTTGGGCTTGTCTCTGTTATATTCCAACTTGTAAATAATCTGAAGACAAAAATTATAGATCATATTATTTCTTGACATTATTGGTGTCAAATGAAAGAAATCAAGATGAGAAACACTGTATAACTGACTACTGAAAAGGCTGTATCCTTAATTATCACACTTCAAAGGTCAGAGAAGGAGATATACTTGAAAGGGACCAACCACACTTACATCACTAATCTGTTTGTTGACTTTTGTGGTCCTTAAGTGTTCTGGAGTATCCACAACCATAGTATACTTGTCCTTCTTCTTTTCATAGTCTTTTTTGTATTCCACCTGGTGATTAAGAGTGTATGTTAACCACACAAACCAAGACAAAACATCTTCAGGAGATATGTATATATTCACACGTGAAATTGCAAAATCCTTCCACCAAAGCCACTGAAAGCTGAACATGCACAACGAGCTAAACTTTGCAAACCCCTTATTTGTGTAAGAGGCTGCCGATCTGTGTGATTAATTTATTTCACCAAGTGTAGAATCTTCACTTCTATTCTAAAGCTCCAAGGCTGAGTAAAAAAAAAAAAAAAAAAATCAATCTTGGCAGATCAATGTCTTTTAAAATTGGACAATAAATTAAATCTGGACAATACCTTATTTTTAAATATTCAGATTAAGAGAAACATGAAACATCTTACACAGCAGAAGATAAAAACATCCACTGGATATATCATGAATGTATCACGATGCCAGGCGATTTTAAAGGCTTTGATAGCAGAATTTGTACCTTGATAATTTTTCTTAAACATCATCTTGCCCTACTCTGGAGTCTAAACCTGTTTTCACAGAATTCAGTGAGGACAGACTGTACACCAAGAACGCCAATTCATTGTAGGCAGCCCGAGGGCAGGTGGAAGAGGCTAGTGCACATCTTTAAAAAAGAACTTCCATGCTCTATTTTGCATCAGAAAATAAACCCATGCTTTTGAAACAGGACTATGACAGACAAAATATAAAAAATTATATACAAGCAACAAATAACAACATGAAGTCAACTCAGGTGATCATGCAGCTCAGGCAGAGTGCTTTTCTTTTTTTGCTTCAAACATACTCAATCTTACCTGTAATGAGTTTTTAATGAGATAATAGAAATCCATGGACAAACTGAACAAAAAATGCCTAGTAAAAGACCTTCAGTACCTTATTACTGAAGAATTTTCTTAACTGTGTGCTGATAGTAACAAAGAAGAACGCCCCTCTCACAGAATTGTTTTCTACTGTTGCGTTTCCAGGTTATAATTCAAATGTTATATGCTGGTTTCACCTGGCCCAGTCAGGAATCATTTTTACCAATGAAAAGGGTAAGGTTACTGCTAGCAGCTGTGATTTCAGAGCAGAAATAAATATGTATCAGTTATTTAATATGCTACATTTTCATCCAGCTGGTATAACCAAAATATATATGCTGGAATCCAGATAAAATGAAGATAGAATATGGAAAAGTAATTCTTCACAATACCATCAGAGTAATTACAGGCTTTCTTTTACACGGCCAGAAATACAAATGTTAGGCTCTTTGTTCTGTATGAACAAATGGATGAATCACACTCACTTTCTACTTTCCAATTCTAATTAAACTGGCAAAAGGAGAGAGTACTTTTTTTAATAAACTGTATTACGTGACTGCACGAGGACTGCTTTGCCAGCCTTGCCTAAAAGCAGCAGGTAGAGAAAGAAATTGATGAAAACACGATTTACCACAGGCCTGTGCACCTACACCATTTCTAAGAGCTCTTAGAAGTGACTCTGTTCTGTACCTAGGCACAATGTGACACCATCCTCAGGCAGTGGCAGATAAGCGTAGTGATCTGCCAGCCAAATTACTTCATCACGGTCACGCTGAATTACGGGACTTGTGTTACGAGGGGTGGTCACTCCAAGAAATGGTGGCAGAGTGAGAATTTGGTTAGGAAAACATCAGGAACAGCTAACATACAATATCTTAAATGTACATAAAATTTCTCTTTATGTAAGCGTGTGAAATATTATATAGAAGTGTCTATAATAATTATCTATAATGAAAGGAGAAAATGGAGGCAAGATCAGCCTGAGCTGAGTGAAGTCCAAGTTAAGTAAATATTGTTTCAGATATTCTGTTTTCAAAAATATGTTATCATAGCCAGCATTAAGCACATCAACAAAACTCTGGACTCTGATAGCCACAGAAATTTAGAGAACTCCCAAGCACTACATATTAGAAGTCCCAGCAGCTAATTTGTATATGTTATGTCTCCTATAGCAGCAGTTCTTCATATTACCTGGCTCCATAAGTATGTGTTGTAGAGTGCTGTCAGCATATCTGGCCTCAGAATTTCATTGCATCCATGTTGCAGGAGCATCTTGGCAAAGGACTTATATTTTTTCTGTTCATGCAAATGGCAACGAAGCACAAGAGAGACTTGTGAACACCATAAACAGCAACACAGCTCTAGATCCCAGACACTTTGAGAGTGGAGAGATTTAGGCAAGGTACTGTATGTATTCATTCAGATGCGCATACAACTTACATCTATATATTTAAGAATGTCAAGATCGTATATTAAAAGGTTTGCACAGTATCCCATTAAGGAAATTGCAAAAATATTTTTGGGGAGATAAAAATAAATTCTAGATTAAGGTGAGGGCACTCAAAAGCCAAATATGTCACTGTTGCCTGTGTGATCAGTAAGAAGATAACGTTTGTAAAGGTCATTAAGAGAGGTAATAAAAAATACATGCATGGCACAACGTACATTTTTTAAAACCTCTCCAATGACTTCAAGAGGCGTTAGGTTTCTGATGTCAATTGATGCACAATACATGAAAGTACATACAGTAGAGATTAGCTCACTCAAAAAGTAATATACGCAAAAAGTAATATTTCTTTTTGGGTGGCAAAACAAAAGACTGTCTCATCAACTGAACTAAAACATCACAACATCACAGGTGAAGCCTGTGATACTGCTAGCTGTAGACATTTCACACGGACAGAGTAGCTGCGAGTGAACCAGGCACTTTCAGGCAGCACCGGCTGGTGCTCCTACAGTACCTGACTGCTCAGTGTAGTCCCCCACTTGGCCAAGAGATTCCTGGGATCATCCACAATAACGCTGTACCTATCTTTGAGCTTCTCATAGGCAGCTTTATATAATTTCTGCTCAGAATAGCATAATACAGTGCAATGAATTAAAAGAGGGTGAAGACACACAGAGATCATAGTTCTAACCATTGAAACCTCTTTACATGGACTATTTAAAGGCTGGGATTGAACTTCATGTCCAAAAGAGAAAAATATATTTAACAAAAACACAGAGAGAACACATTTCCAAGTAGTACATGCATTTCTAAATTTCCACTGGAAGGCCTACCCTACAACTGAAGGATGCCTACATTCTACCCCTGCTGCTCTTCAATAAGGCATTTTATGACTTACTTTCTTCATGAAAAATAACTGCAGAAGCAACTTTGTATGGAACCAGATTCTTGGTTTGAGTACAAAGAGAACACAGTGAGATGCAAGGGTAAAATACAATGTTATGCGATCATCTGACATTTTGTAAGCAAAAACTATAATCCCTCATCACAAAACCCATCACTTAGATAACAGAAGACATTTAAGCAAGTTCCTTTCAATGTATGGAGCCCCTGTCACTAAAATTTTACTCATTTGTATTTCTCATATTAAATTTTTCTTTGTTTGCTCTACCAAACAATAAGAAGACTGAATACTAACAATCTTCCATAACAAATTCTGGTTCACTGCAGAGTGACAGCAATGGCATCTGTGGTGAAACAGTTTTTCTTACCTAGAACAGATAATACCGCAATCCATTTGACACTGACAGTGTTTGGACATTGCCTTATGTAAATATTTTCTAGTAATCCTTTTGTGCTTTTTAGCTTTGTATACCGTACATGGGAAACTGAGTAAAAACAAAACCACCACCAGCAGGACCTGCAGTGGACAATGTACAGAACGCTTCTTTATCTTGAGATAACGGCTTCAAGGACTGGAGCTAACAGAGCAGCCACGGCTGTCTGAAGGCTGGCGAAGAGTTTCCACCAGAGTAACAGCTCCAGCTGGGCCCTGAAGTGAACTTTCTCTCAGAACGAGTAGGGGGCACTTACTCAAACGACCACCAATGACCACCCAAGGGCCCCACGCACGCGGAGCACAGTTCTGCAACGCGAGCAGTATGGAAACAGGGTAGAAAGGTGGAGCCGAGTGTGACAAGTAACAATGGGCTTGGCACATAACCGAGATATGCAAATTCTAGTACACAAATACACTAAGTTTTCTGTTTAGCTTTGCAGTGGATTTGGGAACTTTCCCTGAGTGACCGATTCCAGGCGCTATCGAATAAAGCAATGTCTCCTTCCTAAACGTAGTTCCATTTCTGCGTTTCAGGAGTTTGGCTGCTAAAATGAGAACACATTTACTGACAGGTAAACAAGTTAACATACTGTCTGGTGAAAAAGAATAAAATATCAAGATGTGAAAGTCTAAATATAGGAAAAGCATCCGAGTCTGGCGTGGTATGCCAACTCTAACCCGGTGAGAATTCATCTAGAACACAGTGCTTTTCAATGGGCTTTGTCCTGTGGGTATAGCTAGAAACTCCATTGGTGGTTTTAATCTTAAACCCAGGGGCATTCATTATTTAAATTGGGATTTATTTACCAGTCAGCAAAGGAGAAGTTTCTTTGCAATGACAAAGTAATGCAACAGGGGTCTGGATTGCTTCTCTGTCCTAATAGACAGACGGACAATAAGAACAACCTCATCCTTCATGATTTTAGTCTGACCTTAAGACATCCTTAAGCCTGAATATATTTTGATTTATCTACAATTTCATAAGGAAGATCAGCCTTCAACTCAGTATTAGCATACACACACTTATTACTTCAGTATGAGGCTCTACAGAAACACTTACCCCATCCATCAACTGAGTTGCATGTTTAAAATGCTTGTTAATTGGAGAGTCAGCTACATAGTTAAAAAGAGACTTAGTCTTCTCAAATGTCTCCTTGTACTTACACTGAGGAAAAAACAAACAAACAGAATTTCCAAAGTTAATCCAAAGAAGGATAAGGTAATGAAAACATACAATTTTAGAAACAATCTGCAGCAAAACTGTGGTAGACTACATTGCATAGGTGTGTTTAACGTATCTACAAACAAAAACCAGTTGTATATGTAGTAGTTTGCAGGATGGAACTATCCCACCAAGAAAGCAACTCAAATTTTGTATCTTCATAATTTTAAAGCTAAACTTAGATTCACTAGAAATGTTACTATGGAGCTGATAGCTTTGCACAGAACAGAGGGGATAAGTAAAAGATCATTTTGCCTGTATTTTCTTTTATAGTAAGAACGGAAATTTTAAATGCTGCATATTAAGTTCTACCATGAGTTATTCATACAAATGTCTAGATCAGAATTGGATTCTCCTGCCAAAAAATTATAAGCAAACATCAAAAAAATCTTTAGCAACAACTCTGTTTTACTTACCCCACTGTAGAGCACCTTATTCTTTTCCGCCAGAGCAAAACTTGGAGTATCCCACGCGTAACAGCCAGTGCCTCTGAGCCACGCTAAGTCTTCCTTGTATTTAACCTTTAGAAAAAGAGTAAAAAGATTCAGTTTTAAGTGGCACCAAATGGTAGCTGATCAATGCTGAAATGGCACCTCAACACAAGATGCAGCAAACAGAGCTACATCCGTTACTATTCCATTATAAAATAAGTTAGAGCTCCTCATACTTTTCTGATGGACTCGGATTATTCACATACCTAATCTATCATTAGCTACTGGAGTTCCTGTGTGAATTAAAACCCATTTATTCTTGTCCAATCAAAGGGTTATTATATATATAAATGTTGTATAGAGTTAAGAAACAAATCTAAGCAAATGCAACCGAAATTAATTAAGACTGTTCTGTTAATTTCAAAAGGAGACGGGCTGCAATTTTAGCCATCTGGTTTGCTCTGTCATTTCACAGATCTGCCAGGGGAAAGTGTAAATCACTTGGAAAAATTCAGCTGCCTTCCCTTTTTCAAGAAATAGGACTTGGTTTTCATTCTGGAAACCTACTTATAACTTTCAGCCCCTCACATCCAGGAACTACTTGAACTCACATCACTGATAGCATCCGTGACTGCACGATGATGGAAATGCTCCGGACGGTCTGGGATTGATCTCCAGATTCCTAACTGGCTCATATAATTTTCCTTATATTTCACCTACAAAGAAAATTGAGGAATGAAGTAAACCAATTTGAGAACAGCACACTCTAAACCAGGCAGTTTCAAAACTTCCCTTTTTCTGAAACATCAAAACTAAAACAGTGAAAAGGAGATTAACTAGCATTCGCCTTTGTAACACCAAAGGCAATCAAGTATGTAACACTTCAGAGAAGCAGAAAGTTCCTATCAACAGTGCCGATCATATTTTTTCTAATTATTTGACACTCTTCAGTAGAACAAGAGCACAAACGGCATATTCCAGGTTATTAAACGACAAACGCTAAGTAGGAATTAAAGTATTGTATACGTACACTGCTAATATCATCGGTGACCTTCCGATGATAGACAATATCCAACGCATCTTTCACTGTGTGGTACTTGCCCTTAGTATTCTCAAAGGTTTCTTTGTAGCGCAACTGGTAAGAAAAATAACACATAAAACCATATTTTTATCTGTCAGGAATTGTTCTAGTTAAATTTCCTACCTCTTAGGAAGGACATCCAGGGATACATTAGGATATTGGACAGCAATGTAAGTCCTGAGGAGTTTTAAGAAGCTGCCATTGCCTATGATGAACTGCAATTTGACTGCAACTTATGGTGAAAATCAGAGAGAAGAGGAGCTGGTACATCCAAAGCGACATTTCATCCTATTCACTTTCAGACTGAAGACTGAGGAGAACACATCCATGTATCACAGGACTACTCTCTAGAACAGTGAAAGTGCCACTTTTGGCATAAAAAAAACCCCAAACCCTCCTTATCCCTTCTTCCATGTCTTGATCTAGAAGAAAGCTGGAAGATCATTTCAGTCTTTGGAGAAAGAATGTCTCAGAAGAAATTTCTCAGAAGAACTGGGATGCTCCCTTGCAGGATTTAAAAATCATTAAGAGAGCAGTAAGACTCATCACCAGAACAAAACACCAGCCCAGCACATTGCCTTCCAGGATACAACGTGCAATCTGAAATATCTAGCAAAGGCTCAGGAATGAGTAGAGTACTCTTAGCCATTGCCTTAAATCACAAATCACTATTCCACACTTGAAGGAAAAAATCAATTTCACCTTAATAACCTTACGTGCAGCAGCTCAGATAATTTTTCTGTCTAATCTACTTCTAAATTAAAAAATGAGCACATTCTCAGTGATATGCAAGTTTCCTTCTAACACAAAAGTGAGATGAAAATGTCTGCTAAAAGGTATTCTGTCCTGGCTCCAGCATCAATCATTTCACTCCAGTCTGCACTATTCGGAGATTTCATGTGTAAGCAAATTACTCTAAATCTATTTTTCCTTTGCTGTAAGACCACACTTCAGTGCAATGGAAAATGAAAATGAACTGTAATAAATGAAAAAAGCATTACAGTGACATCGAGTTTAATAATCCCGGTACTATCAAATGGAAATGTACATGCAAATAGGGTGACCTAGTTCATGAGCCACACTGGGATAGTCTAGGCTTTGCATGCTTGTTCCCCATTGATCCTTTTTTTGTTCTTTTTATAAAGAAACCAAGAAAAAGCAGCAGTGAAAGTGTTTGTGCAGTACATACATCACTGGCATTCAGGTATGCTCTCTTGGCTCTGATCAAGACCGGCGTGTCGGGGACAGGCGTGTACTTGTCCTTCATCTTCTCATACTGGATTTTATACTTTTTCTAAGACAGACAACAAAAGGGAAAAGTTATATCTTTAATCTCAGAAGCATTTGCTAATCTGGTATTACGTTAATGCCCAGGGGCGCCACGCTGAGTGCATAAAGTCAGCGTTGCAAAGCGCTTCTGTCAAACTAAGCTCAGCTGTTCAGCTCTTTCTAGGTCTTCCTGGTCTTGCAGCCAGTGTACCTCATTCTGCAAACAAGCACTCAGAAACAAGTATCTTAAAATACTAAAACATGTTTTAAAATTGTACTTTTTAACCTTAATATATAAAGGAATTGTGGAACTTAAGCATGAGAGAGAGAAAACTAAATGATGGTTAAACAGATCTGAGCCTTCAAGCTATCACTAAAACTAGAAATAAAACTTGTAAACAGTCAGCGTGTGATACTCAAGTACCTTACCTCACTGACCATGTCCTTCACGTGCCTAGCATGTGTAAAGGCTGGAGTCTGACCGCCAGCATGATGATGGGGTCTCTCTCTGGTGGCAAGTTCCACATACAAGTACTGCAGCAAGAAGAAAAGAATCAAAAAACCATACATTTCAAGTAAGTTTTACTTTGTCTCTCTGAAAAATGACTGTAAATTCACACATATACATGACCACACAATTTACCCCAGGGAAAAATAAGGCACCCTTTCCTCTTCCATACTATCTCAGTTCATACTCTTGATATTCTGTAACTGCCAGTAACGTGCTCACAAACGAAGAGGTGAATGCATGTGACATTCATGACCTCTCTGCCCTACAGCCAGACCTAGCTTTAGATAAAAGCATCCATAAGGTCTGTTTTTCTCTATCTTCATTTTTGTTCTGCAAATTTAAAAATTCTGCAAAATTTGTAGCTAATAACTCAGATATTGATCTACTATATGAATAAATAAATGATGGTTAATGAAGGTAGGAGGAAAAATATTTCTCTGATGAAGTCAGAGTTTCAAAGAATCTGAACAAGGGTTCAATGCTCTATTTCAGATGGACAAAGCCGAATACATCTGTTACAGTGACACAGTCAAAACATGAAAATTCAGAGCCACTTAAAAATGAGCAGCAGCACTTTAAACACCCTCTCCAGGAATTCTGCATTAGTTTCAAATGGCCTGGAAAGATTTTGCCATACTTTAAGAGTATATCAAGAGGGATCCCCTGACTGTTTTTTTTATCAGTACAAAGTTTTCACCTGGCTCTGTATTTTTTGTCCTTGCTTGGCTCTTAAGAAGTCAGGTGTATCAAGGACGGAAGTGTATTTTGTCTTCAGCTCCTTGCCTGCAGCTCTGTAAACCAGCTGGAAAAAAAGACAGGTCCATGAATTATTTCTTCTGTTACATATGTTCATTTAGCAGCTGAACAATCACAGCTTTACAACTATAACTTCTCATATATTTCAGAAAAAAGTGAGAGGGTCTGAGCTTAACTACAGCCAGCAAAGATGTGCAAAAATATTATAGAACTTACTTCACTCAAATGAGTTTTTAGTTCCTGACCCGCTCTGTATCCAGGAGTATCCAACACCAAATTGTATTTAGGCCACATCTTCTTTGCGGTATCCGTGTATATATAATTAGACTAGAAAGGGAAAAGCAGTATTACTTCAGAAGCTTTTATTACTCTTGGTAGTAATGAAAATTTTACAGTGTAACCTAACAGTACTTTGAAACAACTAACTAGCTGCATGGCAAGAAATTCTGGCACAAGTCTTCACTCATTTTCATGTACTTAACTGCCTGGAAGCACCTAGCATGCACGTAGGTAAATCAATCACTGTTACACACGGGTCTCAAGGAAAGTCTTACCCAAAGCTTACGCAGGTGACGAGCACGGACCATGTCAGGAGTATCATACAGGAAGCAACCCAAGCCCTTCAACCACTTCAGATCCTCTTTGTATTTATTCTATGAGGCAAGCAGAAAAAGAAAAATCAAAAGTGAACCTTTGGGATAATCTCATTAATCAGTCCCCAAGCACAGTTACAAAGCATTTATCTATTATAGAACAGAATGCAAATGATAGAAGCCAAATTCCACTTTCAGTAGGAAAGTACCAGGCCTGTTGTATTCAAATACCAGGTATCTTAAGAAAGGTGCTTACATCACTGGTGATGTCCCCAACGTAGCGGCAGTGCAACACCTGAGGAGTGTATGGCAGGGAAATCAAGTGCCCCTGCATCTTAAAGAGATCTGACTTGTAGATTAACTGAAAGAAAAAAAAAAAAAGCATTTCACAGGTTCGGTGATGCTGAATATTCTAAAGCTCTTCTGGCCTTTTTTTATGTTAGAGAGACACGTACATCACTGACGGCTTCCTGTGTTGCTCTGACTTGACGGATTTCTGGTGTGTCTGGAGTGGTATGAATCTTGTCCTTGTACTTGTGGTATGTTGCCCGATACAACCTCTGTATCAAAGGAGACAGCATTCTACGTGTTAAAAGCTTAAAATGGCAAGCAGTTGGGTAGAGTGTAAGCACCTCTCTTTTAAGGGCAGGTTTTTTCCCTAGGTATTGCATAACTAGCAGAGAAAATGGAGCAAACAGACTATTTTCTACCCAGGCAGAGATTTTCCACTATTATTTTTGATAGCATCATCTCTACTACATGGAGGATCCAAGACTAATCCCACAAACATTTAAATATATGTATTTAATTTTCGTCCTATTAAAGCCAATGACCAAATAATGAGCACATATATATATAAAACCTGAAACTATTGAGACCCATGTCATACAGACACAATAATTTCTATACAGCTTTAATCAAGTAGCAGCAGATCAGTTGATAAAAATTAGGCTGCGGTTGATTTTATATTCTGGTAACGGTTTTACAGGATTACAGAAAGTTAGAGTTACCAAGAACCTTAAAAAGCCATACAGCCCAACTCCACACCTGGATCACGATCCCTTGCCATTCTTGATGGATATTTGTCTAAACTGCACAAAGAACAGGGATCCCACAGCCTTCCCAGTCAGGGTACTCTCATCATTCCTATTTTGGGCACTACAAATACAATTGAAAGCAAGTCTGTATATTTACTGTACCTCATTAATCACTTGATTCACTTTCTTCACGTTTTCAAACCCAACATCTTTAGGTCCCAGAGTATAGCCTTTAGCTTTCATGTGTTCATAGGCTTCTTTATATTTCAGCTATAAAGTGGAAAAAGGAACAAAAGCATACGACAGTAAATTTGGTTGTGATTTTACTTACACTGCAGTTCTGACAGTAATTTATGCAGTAGAAAGATCCAGATTTGTAAACAAGTGAGATGCAGCTATATCAGAGTTAAATACACTACATCATCGTTATTTTTACCTTTATCACGTGGCCCAAGACTAATAATAGTTTAAATTTATCTTGTTATCAGTAACTTCTCTCTAGCCCTGTCTCCTGGAGTCACCTCAGACCTATGTTGTAGGTAACTTGTCTCCAATCTCCGCTCTGTTCTGGCAGCTCCTAACTAGATCCCCCTGGATAGACCTTGGCCCTGGTTCCTCACCTTGTCTGGGACTGTCAGCACCCTGCTCCGCCCACCCCGTCCACACCCAGTGGGACTTCACCCTAGATGAGGAGGTCACTGCCTATGGCACGGTCACCCCCAGTTCCTGGCTCTGGCACCAGGAACTACCCCACTCTCGTTGCTCTCTGACTGGCACTCTCTTATCTGAGAAACAACTGCCTCGCACAGCTGTGCGCCCATATGGGACGGGCATCAAACACTCCCTTGCCACTCAGGCTGTAGAAGGACGTCGTACACCACTTACGTCGCTGCCGATGTACTGGACGTGTTTAGCATGCTGAAAGCTGGGGGTGTCGGTGGGAAGGCTGTATCCAGTAGGCAGAGCACTCACACCAGCCCAGCGATACAAATTCTGCAAGAGAAGAGAGAGTTTGTGACAACTGTGCCTGATATTTGAGAGGATTCGTTAGCTGCCTAGGAAATCTCTTAATCACAACTGGCAAAAGATTTCCCCCGTGTCTGCATTATAATGCATACTGGTAGCTTAAATGAGGACATTCTCCCACTTTCATTTTAGAGTTGTGAAATCTAGCTTCTTCATCTGAAAGGCTACAGACAGACATTAACTTAACTTGCTTTTTGAATATCAGACACTGTGGACCCAAAAGTTTTATACTTACTTCACTCTGTATTTTGTTGGCATGATACGCCCGCTCCAAATCTACCGTTTTATCAGTAGGAATCATTTTGCCTTTGACATTGTGCATATATTCACTGCGATAGACAGCCTGCGAAAAAGAAAAAGTAATTAGAGGAGAGTCATAACTGCGATGTTCTCTCACGGTATGTATCGTTTGCATACATATGGGAATTTCTCCTAAAAATCTGGATGAAAGTTTTTTGGATTCAGGCAATTAATGGTTTTAGTGACTGCGTTCTATTAATATCTTAATAAAGGCATAAGCAATGAGTTATAGATAACCAGCCATGATTAAAATATTAAATGAAATTATTAAAAAATATTAAAAGTCCCATTTCTAGAACTTACGAGGCAATGGCATATGCAATCTTGGGGGTGAAAGGTGATACAAACACTTACTTCACTTGAATTCAAGCCACTGAGGACATTCTGGACATAGACAGGAGTGTCCATGACCACAGTGTAGTCGTTCTTCATTTTTTCTGCCTTAGATTTGTACTTAATCTGCAGAGAGAAATTCAAGAGCTCTAATTAGCAAGGCTAATTATTGTTAAATAGTAAATATAATGATAGAATAAATTCAATTATTTTATTACTGAACTATTCTATTTGTGAACCAGCATTTAAAGAGAAAATGTATTGAAGTTATGGCTGAATAAATGAACATGGCACCTTACCAGATAAGTACAGCTGATAAGTTTTATCAAGGAATATTAAGGAATTCATAGACCCTATGATAAATGTCCAATGTCCTTCTGATACAGAATTTATGAAGGGACATACATTCTTGAAAACCAGAAGGCTTATTCTGCCATTTTAATGGCTTAATCCTAAACTAAAGATGTGTCAAAAGATCTTGAGAGGAGAAAAAGATGCCATAACAATCACCATCAAAATATTTTTTTTCTCATATGAATTCTGCATCATTTAAGCTTTACTTCAAGGGTTCTGAATGAAGAATTACTGTTTTCAGTGCTTTTCTGAGAAGGCAAGTATTTAAACATATGCTTAATTCTTTCCTGAATGGGATGTAACCTGATGATATCTACCTCTAGAGAGCAAAGTTTGAACAACCCCATATGGTTATGGAATGAATACTTCAGCAGAGAACGGTACATAACATTTTCCAGATTATATCTGGAGTAGCATAAAGTTTCTTCATCCTTTCAATACAAAGGAGTAAAAAAACCCTAAGTAGTAAAACCAGTGTATCCACTCACATCACTGCGAAGATCGTAGGCATGTTTGGCGTGGAGAATTTCAGGAGTGTCCCAAACAAAGCAGCCAATGCCTTTCAGCCAGTTAAGATCATCCTTGTATACCACCTAAGGTGTCAGAACAAAGAAGCAACCTGTAAGACTTCCACAAGGTTCTAACTCCTCATGGATAAATGAGTCTGAAACACAACTGTCAATCGATGGCAAGGAAGGTCTCCAGTATTTTGACTTTTTTTTGTTGTTTGTTTGAGAAAATCAAAACAATTCCTTTTGGTATTTCAGTAATTTTTCTTCATTACTTCAGTTTGGCCAATAAAAAACAGTCAACGATTTTTACTCAATGTATTATGTGCATAACACAACAGATTCAAGAGGCCACACCTCAGAGCGCTGCAACTAAGTTTTTGCTAAATCATTTCCTCTAACAGAGCATGAATGCAAGAATCTTTTTAAAAAGTGAGTCACGAACGCACAATTTGTGAACTTACATCGCTGAGTTGATCAGTTACTTTTCGAACGTGGGCATTGATTTGAAGATCTGGCAGGCAGATCCATTCATGGAGGTGGGTGCGGTAATCAATTTCACTGATTTTCTTCTGCGCATCCTTAGCAGAAATTATGTCCACCATGTCTGGAATAATGTGGACTTTGGCTTTATTCTTTTCATAGACTTCCTTGTACAGACGCTGCAGAGTTAAAGCAGTACTTTAATAACGCTTACAAGTAGTACTCTGAAGCATTAACTGTTGATAAATTTGAAGTAAAATCATTGCTATTTTCATGGAACGTTAGTGGGAGAGCAATCGCTTTGGCTATGACTAAAATTTACATCTTGCCTTCTCTAAAAACAATTTGCAGAACCTCAACCAGGGTGATAAAATAGGATTTGTCAAATTTTCATTGTACTCACATGTTAAAAGGAGGTAGACTATATAGCGCTCCATTTTATACATCAACACATGACTAGGTTTAGCCATGAGGGCAACTTACAGTCGCGTCACTATGTCTTGGAAAGACATTCATAGGTGTATCTTGGAATTTAGCAAACGCTGAGCACTGCCAAATGCGCGTGGAAACGTGCTATCTGAACAAAGGCACGTGGATTCTTTGAGTAGCCTTTTCTGAGAGAAGCATGGTTTTATCAGGAAAACACACATCAGAAAACACCACTTACATCAATATTAAGCTTTCCAACTCTAAGGCACCTTGCTGTATTGGGGTCATCCTCAACACCTCTGGGTAGCGTGTACAGTGCTTTAAACTTGTCATATTCTTCTCGGTATTTTACCTAAGCAGATGCAAAGAAAGGCAACAAATAACTGACTCCACGGAGTCGACTGTATTTTTGGAGCAAAGTTCATCAGTAAGCAAAGTAGTTAGTTGAATCCAGCAAGCCAAGAAAGCCTTTAAAGCAGGATCTTGGTTTTCTATTTCATTTGAAATGGCAAAGAAAGCACATCATAACTACCATGCTGTAAAAATAACAACAGCTGGAAGACTTTAAACACAAATAGATGTAGAATAAGCTATTTATTTATTGCTCCAGCTCTTTCATTTAGAGATATCCATGAAGAGAGCGGTCTCTCATAAGCCTCAGTAAAGCATAAGATTGTGTCCCTCCATACCTTGTAAAGCAATATTTAAATACATTCAGTGGTTTTCTGACCTGGATGCTTATGCAATTTAGACTGAAAAAAACCCCTAACCAGACATTTTAAAGAAACAGTTTCTATTACTGTAAAATGTAAAGGGTTTTTTTTTTTATTAAAAGAAGCAGCAAAAGACTATCTGTTATCCAAATGATTATCACAGAAAGCTGATTATTTACAGATACGTGTATCTAAATAAAAAATAGAAGACAATTTTAAAACCACTTTTTTATACCTATAGTATATGCAAGGCATGAAGGATTTCATTGCTAGAATTGATGATGTGATTAAAGTATCAAAGCATTTCATTCACTTACAACACTAGCATTATGCTTCAGTTCTTTTGCACGTGCTAGGGACACCGCATCCGAGGGCATTATATAGCCAGTTGCTTTCACTTTTTCCCAGGCTTCCTTGTAGAGATTCTATGGGAAATAGAAAGTCTCTGAGTGGAAAAATTCTTCTTCTGGGCAATAATCAATGACCAATAGAAATCAAAAGCCCCTCTGTTTTTATTTATACGCCACAACTATTACTTCATACCAAGAGGCTGTACGCTTGTTTAATGTTGACAGTGCACATAAAGGGTGACAAAACCGCTTTCTAACTACCGATGTCCATTCTCGTACAAGGTCTTTTGTTCTGGTGCAATTTTCTTCAGAGAAGCCATTTTTTAATGCATGTATTTTGACAAGAAAATATGCCCTCTGCCTAAAATACAGCATCTTCCCCATACTCAAGCAATGCAGAGGGCTATCACTGGCTTTGAGACGCTCCATGCTTGGACATTTATCTTCAGAGTGAACAAAGACAATAAAACAAAAAACCCACATAGTAGCACCTTAAGAGGAAAAAAAAAAATCGTAGAAAATCTTACATTGCTAAAGAGGTGTTTCAAATTTTGAACTCTTTCAGAATCCACTGTTTCAGTCACAGTTGTATACTTGTCCTTAGTTTTGTGGTAATCTTGCTTGTATTTCACCTGTAAGATGAAAGACAGATGTAGCTGACTTGTTTTAGTTCTGAGAAGGAGCAGGGGAAAAGCCTGAGTAGAAAAAGTGGGGAGACTCACATCACTGGCATTTACACCGCTCTGCACTGCAGTCACATAGAGAGGTGTGTCAGTAACAACACCAAAGTTCTGAAGATTCTCTTTTCCTGCAGCTGTATATTTTATCTAAGGAAAACAAAACCAAGCCAAACAAAACATTAATGCTGCGAATGACAAGGAACTTCCCTGCGGCTTCCTTTAAAATAGTTCTGGAAAACTGAAGCCCTGCTAAGCCCAACTTTAAAAGCGACAGGTCATAGAAAAGACATATTTAATATATAGCCAGGATGAACTAAGGAATAATGAAAACTGCACATCACTGCATAGCATCTAGTAGGCTAAGAGTACAATCAGCAAGGCAAGAGGTGCTATTTTCCCAACGTAAATGTCTTGCTGAGGTATCCTATGCACAAGGTGCCATACAGAATGACAGTGTTATCTTCTCACTGTTAAAAACCGCATCCCTGCTGTTCTTCCATTCTCCTAAGTTTTCTGCTCCTTCAAAACCAAAAGTGACCACGTTGATACAGATGAAAGCCTGTATTATAATAGTTTGAACAAAATATTGCTGATGTGATAGGAATTACTTCATTCTGTTCTGGACTAGCACAGGTGTCAGTCCCCATGAATCATAAATGGAAGAAAAAAAATCCTACAAGTATTTACTTATTTGAGGAAACCATGCTTACTTGGCTCTGGAGGTCATACGATTTTTTAGCATGCAGGATTTGTGGGGTATCCCAGACATAACATCCAAGTCCCTTCAGCCAATTTAAGTCATCTTTATACACCACCTATATGGAAGAAAACAGACTAACTTAGGAAGAAATTTTCCTTCTGCCTGAAGAAAGCAGTATTTGTTTCTTCTCTACATTCAGTATCTTCCACTTGTGCAAACTCAACGCCGAAGGTTACAACTGGATCTGAACCAGGCTCATTCAGTTATTCCAATCTATTTGGAAGTTTAAAGGGGAGCACAGAGAAGACTCATGGTTTCACTGAATGATTTTTACCCAACAGATCTGCAAGGGAAACTAAACCAAATAATGCAGTGTAGTAACGTGCCAGGCAATTAACACATCATCAGATTTTATTAGGAAGGTTGCTTGGCCCAAGCTGAGATACTGTTGACCATGTAATATGAAAAAGGGTCGTGGTTCAGTGCGCCATTCACTCAGCTCAGACTCTGCAGGCTGATACGACCCCAAACGAACGAAGAGAAGTCTTCTCCAGGCGCTCTCCTGGCCCCTGTGCAAACTACAACACTCCCAATTGCCATACGCAAGGATCGCTGTGGTGCAGCAACATTCTAACTGAACCATGGTACATCCACGTCTCTTCTCTGTATGTGCCGGGGGGCAAGCTTTCTATACTGTCTCCTCCAGTCAAAGAGACATTAAGTGTTGATAGCAGAGACCTTTGGGAAGGTTTCATATACATTAACTTGAACTTTTTCCAATTTACAAATTAATAATGAATCAATAAATAACCAGACCATTAAAATGTCCCAGAGAAAACTGTAAAAATGTAATTTTCAGTACTATGCTACTAAGCAATCCAAGACCATGGTTATTAATTTGGTATTTAAATACTATGGAAGATATTTGAAAGTATTTTATATTGAAATACCTTGGAAAAAATTACATGAAAGGTTACTAAAATGTCAATCAAATAAATGAAACACATACATCACTCAAAATTTCCTGGGCTTTTCTGGCTTGAATAACATCATTTTCTTCAGGTGAACAATTCCACTGATGGAAGTAGGTTCGGTATTCAAGATCGCTGAGAATATACTGGCACTTCTTGGCTAACACATGATTCATCATGTCACTTGGAATATGGACATTTGCTTTGGTGTCTTCATAATTCTTTCTGTATGCCAACTGAAAAGGAAAGATTGGGGAAAAGGCAAGAAGAGAAAATAGTGGTTTTCTGTGTAATTCTGACTGTAACAGGCTACAGGTTACAGCACAATCCGAGGCATGCTTTCTGGATTTAGCAGCTGAACTCCCAGGGGATTTAATAGGGTGAAATCTTAACTTTGATATTAATCACCATTTATTCTGATCAGGTTCTAGAAGTACAAGAATGACCTTCTTCTCTTGCAGATTTAGCAGCTGGTGAGAAAATTAACAAGACTTCAAAATAAAAAAGCCACATGCAACAAACATGTTTTAATTTAGTTAAATCTCCCTGTCTGAACGAAGACAGAGCATTTGGGATTACAGGAACTTTATGCTCCGCGTGACACGCTATATGTGCAGTGGTGATAACAACAAAACACCAAATGTGCACTTACTTTTCCAGTTCTTAAATGCCTATTTCAGTTTAAAAATCAGCCCTTTTTTCTTTCAAAGCAAAAGAATCCCGAGACACGTAGTACTTCTTACTGCTCAAATTCTTAAACTGAAAGAGGAAAGCTTTTTTTTCCCTATTCCAATACGTCTAATAGCTAAACAAATGCCTTCTTAATCTCCTAAACCATTTCAATTTCAATTATTCAGCCTATGTACAAAAAAATCATTCAGGAAACATTGTTGAAAAACTTTTACTTATGTTATTAAGCAAAGCATTATTAATGTTTAAATATGTCATACTAAAATTAAGAAAAAAATGGAAAATACTACGGCAAGACTAATTCTCTCCTTACCGCACTCCTCATTTTCTGGAAGGCCAGGGAATGAATGACACTGGGGAAATCACCAATCTCCTTCCCAGCCAGGTAGTGGCCTTTCAGCTTCTCATAAATTTCCTTATATTTAAGCTGCAAAAGATTCATGTGGAAATTTTAAAGTTCATTCTAACAAAACATGGCAGATGGGGGAAGACAGAATGGAAAACTCATACTAACCTCACTGTTGATGTAGTTCGCATGCTTCGCTCCAACAACTGGAATATACTTCTCATCCAAAGTATACCCAATGGGCTTGCTGATTTCCCAAGCATTTTTATAAAGTTTCTAGACAAACAAAACACAAAGGTTTTGATACAAAAATCCATTATGCTTTCCAACAAACCTGACTTTGCCATTTGTACACACAGGGAGTGTGACTACTTTTATGGAGCAGTTCCTTAATCCGTGAACTGTAGCAATAAAGCAAATAAAGAACGTTCATTTGGAACGCTTACTCAGTGTGAGCAAGGCAAACAGAATAAGTATTCCAATTCAGGCAGGTACCTGAGCACAGATTTGAGCTGATCTCTGCTTTCTTTACTATATTTGGAATTCAGCATTTCTCATCCAGAAAAGTAATAAAAACACCCAAAACGTAGACATGAACACTTGTTTAAAAGTGCAGCATAGAGGTGACACTGATAATTTTATAGAAACACATTCAAAACTGTGAAAAATCTTCAATTAATACTATTGTTTATTATAAAAGCATTAACTGTGTCAGTGGCAATGTTCTAACACATTGTATTTTGTTAAACATTAAATATATTTACCTTCAGGCTGAATTATGAAGCACCTACTTGTACGAATGTAGCCATTTACATTTTCAAAAAAAAATATATATTTTCCATTAAAATTAGTGAGACTACTCAAGAGCAAATGCTTTAAAATACTTAATAGTCTACAGTTCTCCTCTCTCATAAAAAATAAATGGAAATTTCATCAGTAGTGTGGGAAGATATTATTGGATGGAATTATAAACTGGTTCGCCACACAAACTCTACTACTGCTGCTGCTGCTATTACTGCTTCCAAACACCACGCAGCAGTGCTTTAACATCAGTTCGATACAGAAAGAAGTTATCCTTATTCTACTGATCCAAACTGGGAAAAACTGAAGGAAAAAAAAAGATATTAAATAACTTTCCCAGTGCTGCCCAGCAGACTAATGACAGAAACAGAAATAGAACAGTGTTCTGATGTCCACTCCACATCCTGTTGCTTTCAAAACAGACAAATTAAAGCTTAGTTAGATATTTATTGAATCTTACATCGCTGTATAGTAAGGACATGTCTCTGGCATGGTTCAGCGCAGGAGTATCATCAGACCCAATATACTGGCCTTTCTCAAGGTTAAATGTTTCTTTGTATTTTAGCTACAAAAGAAAACAAACACAATGTTCATTCCACAGGAGAAACAAGTTATGCCAACTAGTCTGTTTTTAGAAGCAGACACTGATTTTCTGTCCTGTTATCATATCTTCAGGAAGGTTGCATAGTACATTCCAACCACCACAGGCAAACGTCATCAGTACGTCACCCCACAAAACCCACACAATATTCCAGTGAAATTAAACACACTGTTCAGCCATCAGGTTAGCAGCAACACCAGGAACTCCACTAGCACTATACAACTAACTGCTCTTCAACCAAGAACAGGACCCGATTTGGAACTACTACAAGCAACACCTATGTAAACTCTAAATAAAGAACACACTATTTTCTTCTACAGGAAAACGCAAAATTATTTTGGACAGCAAGATTGTGTTGTCGATTTATACCACTTCTCACTAAATTATTTACCCCAGTCTATTATTGATGAAGCATGCATATGCACACACACACACACACGCGCCTAAACACAGTATAGCTTAGCAAAAGCAATTAAGTCATCTACTAATTCTAGCAATATAACAGTGTCTATTTAAGGGAAAGTACATACATCACTCTGATTGACAGAGTTAATCTTTGCCAAAACAATGTCGGGAGTGTCAACCACACTGGAATAGTTGGCAAAGTTATCAAGGGCTTCTTTCGTATATGTTTTCTGCAAAGAGATAAAATATTTTCTTAAAAGCTGCTCACAACAAAGAAGAGCTAATAGCATAACTGCTAAAATATTTTCTCTTACCTTATTTATCAGTTCCTGTGCATTCTTGACTCTCTTGTGTTCCACCGAGTCCAGAGGAATCCAGCCACAGCCACGAAGCCATTCCAAATCAGATTTATAAATATTCTAAATCAGAAAAGATAATAAAAAACGGGAGAAATGGTTTAATTCAGGGTGACATTTTTCAGTTAGTACTTAGACAAAACTAAGTGGAAATTACCTAGTAGGTATGTAATATCACTTACATCACTTTGCAGGTCATAGGCCTTCCTGGCCTGAATACAGTCATTCTGGTCAGGATGGCACGTCCATTCGTGCAGGTGGTGGCGGTAGTCAACATCGCTGACCAAGGTCTGACATTCCTTTGCTGCCACAACTGACACCATATCCGGAGGGATGTGAATTTTGGACTTTGTTTTGTGATAGTCCGATTTGTACAATCTCTCGTTCTGGATCTCGCCTGCGTGCTCAAACCACACCAGTTTCGGATCATCTCTCATGCTGGGAACTCCAACGTAGTGACCTCTTTGTTTGACGTAGTCAGCTTTGTATTTAAGCTGATGGAAGAGGTGAGAAACACATGTAAAATCAACACTGACTATACCTGCTCTGTTTTTAACCTGTGAATAGCTATGGTTTTGTCAACACAAAGAATTATCCAGCATCTATAAAATATGGAAAGTCCACTTCAGTCGATTTTGAAAGGACTGTTTCTGGAGAAAGTGAAGGTGGAAAGAGAACCTGACCTTTCAGCACTGATAGCTGTAAAACACATAACAACAAAGATGTCTGAATTGTTTGGAGGACAGTGGACTTCATGAACAGTCTCCTGGATGTTAGCCCTAATGGAAAGCTTTCTATGTCTGCTGTTGAATTTGCAAGGCCTTTGACATTTCCGAGCTTCCAAGCACTTGCTTTCCTAATGAGAAAAATTATTACCTCACTTTGGACATCATTAGAGCGCTTGGCATGACTGATCTGCACAGTGTCAGGAGGTAAGAGGTAACCAGTGGCTTTTTCTTTCTCCCAGCTTTCCTTGTATAAATTCTGTGGAAAAGAAAAGGAAGGAGGAATTCAACACTAATATAATGATAATTATTACCATATATATGTCACCTATATTAAAGTGTAAGTATAATACATCCTTCCTTTAGGATGTTCTTAATAAGGCAAGTTTTCTAAATGCCTCAAAATTGTTATTAATGCAAGCAGAAACTGTTAAGGAGAGATCACGTACCTGATTAAGAATTCTGGCTGCCTCACGGGCCATATCGAGCTGTGGTGTATCTGTTAGAGTATAATTTGACTTGACCTCATTCCATGCTTTGTGATATTTAACCTAGAACAGAGAAAGAAATTACTGCCTTGCAGCACCCATCACAAAACTGGGAAAACATAATAGCAAGACCCATATTTGATGCATGAAATAATGTATAAACCCCTGAATTTGCAAGGCTATAAGATGTGACACATTAAATATACATCCCAAATGGATCTTTTTTTAATAAGGAAATTATACAAGACAAGAAATTACAAAGTTTCTCAGAGAAAGTTTTGAAAACATCCAGGCAGCTGGATGGACAGGGAAGAACCTTCAGAGGTCAAAGTCATGCTACCCGTTCAGTCTACAGGGGTGTACAGCCAATAGCCAAGCAAGAAATATTTGAATTTGGGCGACAGATTTTAAGCTTTTTAAGAGCAAATCTCTTTACCCAGCATGATGTGTATGTGAATGCAGCATTCTAGCATCTCCCAGCCACAGACATCCACACTGAGTATGTTCCCAAGCACAGGAGATGCCCCAATGCAGGGGGGGGTTGCGTGGCAGTATGCCATTCGATTCAATGTTGTCATTTGCCAACTCTTTACCAGTGTTTGAGTTAACGAACGTGTTTAGCTTGGCCTGTTCTGTAACAGAAGCATGCAGCAAAAAAGAAACGCAAACCCATGAACTGAGAGGAGGTTGCGTCATTTCATGTTCGCAGAACATGAGCAGCCTTCAAAAACATACAAAGAAAGGCAAGCTGACAGCACGCCAGTCTTGCTCACATTTGTTACACGAGAGTTCACTATAAAAGTGTAAACCCATGTTGGCATAAGTGAGAAGGATTAAACATTATGGTTGCCAGAGTGCGAGTGGCTATTTATGGTCCATGGCCACCAATGATATCAGCCAAAATGGAAAGAAGGGGCTGGCTGCAGACCTAGCACTGGCTTTTCCCATGTCTAGGAAAGATGTTATTCTGCTCGAGGAGCTTCTTCCCTCGTAAGTGATGGAGATGAGTTAGTAAAGTCCTGTTCGTCTCTAAGTCATGCATGCACAGAATTCCCAGAGGCTGGTTGAGAATTCTTTTGCATTTCTTTTAAAAGAGAAAATAAATATCTTTTTAAAGATAAAATCCTACCATGTAAATACACAGGCCAATTTAACATCCCAGAAACCCGCTAGCAAACTTACATCACTAAGAATTTCGCCACTGTTCTTTGCTGTGATATAGTCAACTCTGTCTGCCACTGGAGTAAATGGAAGAGTTTCAGCTTTTGTACGGTACTTTCTCTGTACAAGAGAAAAGATGAAGAGTCAGATTATAACGGAATATTTTACAGCTAACACAGCAATTCTGAATACATAGACAAGACAATAAAGTTTACATGGAAAGAAAAACTCCCAATGCACAATGAATAATGCTGTGGAAATACTTGAGATGTATTTTTTATTTAAAATAACACTGATGTATTTAACCATTAAAAACACTTTAAATTACAAACACCCTTAAGTTTTGACAAACATTTTGTTACCTCATTCAAGAGGTCTCCAGCGTGTTTGACATGGTTGATTCCAACCGAATCATTTGGCAACCATCCAATACCCCGTAGCCATTCTAAATCAGATTTGTAAATGGCCTGGGAAAACAAAATAGGGTCCATGCTGTTAGCCACAGTTCCCTGTACAACCCAGGAAGGTTCATAAACAATGGCATGTACTCCCACCGGTTAAAAGGAGAGCAGTGACTCCAACACAAGCACTGCATCTGAATTTATCACACTTCAAACTTGGCAATACATAACAGTAGCGCATACCTTGTGTTCCCAATAACCAGCAAAGCCAAGTCACTGAATTCAGCAGAAGATTCCCACTACTTAAGAGCTGAAGCAGACTAATTAGAGACAATACAGTAATAAGTTTTCACGTTAACTTACATCACTCTGAAGATCGTAGGCTTTCCTAGCCTGTATGACATCATTCTGATCTGGAAGACAGATCCACTGGTGCAAGTAATGACGGTAATCAACATCACTGACCAAAGACTGCCCGTGTTTAGCTGATATGATAGATAGCATGTCTGCTGGTAGGTGGCACTGCGTCTTCCATTTGGCAAAGTGCTTCTTGTACTCTAGTTCACTCTGAACTTTGCCTATGCCGAGGGCAAACTGCATTTTCGTATCTGCTTTTGCATTTGGAACTCCAACGTAATGTCCTTTCTGCTTCTCGTGATCCAGTTTGTATTTATACTGGGTAAAGAGCAAAGACCACCATTACTAACAGTTATCATGAAATAGCTCGTAAAGCGTGTGAAGAGCTAGATGCTTCTTTTGGCACTTACATCACTAGCAATCTCTCTGGAAGCTTTGGCTGCCTTGATTGGGATGGCATCTGCTCTCAAATCATAACTTATCTTCAACTCATCCCAAGCTTCTTTATACAGTTTCTGAAAAGACAGCAAAACGTCACTCATACACTAAGTAGTCTGGCATTTCCCATTAAAAAGGAACACAGAGTTTACTGCCATTTGTTTGCTGAAATACCATGAGATATTTTTTTTTGTGCACTACTTCTGCTCCTAGCCATAAATACTGCGGCAAATCTCACTGCCTTTCAAATATCTACAGTACCCGCAACACCAGTTTTGCAACCTATACGGCATAGAGAAGTGTTTGTAAAGTTTAGAAAAAAATCATATGCCTTGGGCTCTAGTACATTTCAATAAAATATGACCTCAACGGTGCACGATATTAATTGTTGAACAGCTGCATGCAAGCATTTGTTTTAAAATGTCTAAATGCTTTAAGAATACTCAGTAGAGGGAAGGGAACGTTGCAAGCCCTGTAAGAGGACAGACTTCAGTGAGATTCATCTGACAATCTTCAACTTTGTAAGTAACATCTTAGAACGTCAAAATTCACAGGATACACATACTGGTTTATAGAAATGTAGAACATAGAATGATAAGCATACCTGGCTATAATTAGCAGCATTAGTCTTGGCTAGGTTGATTTCAGGTGTGTCTGGCATAATATGGATCATAGTCTTGTCCTTTTCCCAGGCTTCTTTGTACTTAGGCTGTTAAAATAATTCATTTTATGATATTGTAATGATGGAATTTCACTTGTCAATAACATAATATCCCATAAGTCCCTCCTGAATTATTATCTCTAAAAAATAAAACGTCTGGAAAAGCATTAAACTCGACTTAAAATACCACTGCTGGATTTTATATTTTAGCAGTGAGACTTCTCTTTAAGCATTTATAGCCCCCAAACAACTTCAAGAACGTTGCAACTTACAATGCTGACTTGTTCGGCATTCACTTTAGCTAGCACAACGTCTGGAGAATCCACAACACTGGTGTACTTCAGGCTCTCGATAGGTGTACGATAGACGTTGTCGCTCAGGAGATCCTGGGCATGCTTCACCCTCCGAACATCCGGAGAGTCATTAGGCAGCCAGCCGATTCCACGGAGCCACTCTAGGTCTGCCTTATAGACAGCCTATAAGAGACATGGTCAGAAAAGGAAAACCTTGTATTTAAAATGACTGTCTTAATTATTTTAAACTATACAAAACAGTATATGTTTTAGAAAATGTCAAACCAGCTAGAGCTAGATTAATCCTTTTTATATACAAGAGATGTTCAGTGTCATAAGTAAAATACAATCTGGGAACCAGGTTTTAAGTATTTCATTTCTTAAACAGTACATTCTAAACCCTGTGAAGTTAAATAGAGGGGAAACAACAGAATTGCTGTTAATGAAGATGACTATTAAGGTCTTAAAACAGTCTTCCTGTCCCCTCCTCTAGCCACTTCAACAATTTACAAGTCCAAACAAAAAAACAAGGTGCCTACCAGGAAATCTGACAAAAAGGAGGGGGGGAAAAAAAAAAGGTTACAGGGTAACGGGGACTAGAGCTAACTCCATAACTCCTAAGTGGTATCAGGCGAAATTATTTAAGCTTTAATCAAGCAAATCCTTCGGCAAAGAACACGAACCTCACTTCTGAAGCTCACCATTGAAACAGAGGAAAAGTGACCAACGTTGACTGATAAGTAGAAAAGGCAAGTCAGGAAATCAGCTGCACTGACTCCTCCTGCTTTGAAGTCAGCCACTAAAACACCTTACCCGCTATCTTACATAATTCTTGCAATTAAATAAATTTCCAGCAGGAGCAGCAAAAGCTACCCAATCCCGAAGTAGCAAACAGATGTTATAAGTCACATCAAAGTAAGGCAGACAAATCCTTCATCCCCTCCAAATCTCAATACTCCAAAAGCATACGTAACACAGCAGATACCAACTAAAGCTTTTATAAGATTTAGAGGTGATGATAAAACTTTTTGAAGGATGAAAAAGAGCAGATAAGAGCAGTAACATGAAAAACTGAAGAAAACAGTGCAAAGGTACATCCTTTGTGACTGTATCGTACCAAACCATCAGAATAAGGCTATAATATATTAAATAGCAACAGTAGTCACTGTCACGTGTCTACACATACGCACATCACTCTGTAGGTCGTAGGCCTTCCTCGCGTGGATCACGTCGTTCTGGTCGGGCAGGCAGGTCCACTGGTGAAGGTAGTGGCGGTAGTCAACGTCACTGACCAGCGTCTGGCACTCCTTGGCTGCCTGCACCGACATCGCATCCGCATGGATGTGGACCTGGGCCTTGGAGTCGTGGGACGCCTTCCTGTAGAGCCGGTCGTCTGCAGCAGCATGGCACGCGCAGCCCACGACAGCTTGGGATCCTCCTTGGCAGTTCGGCACCCGATGTAGTGGCCCTTCTGCTTCTCGTGCGTCTCTTTGTACTTGTACTGGAAATGCAGGAACAACGTAAGCACCCGCACACCGCCCACCTGAGCGTGGCGAACGAATAAAGGGCTTTCAGCTTCCCAAACTGTGCAGCCTTTGAACTGAACTTCACTCAGTTCTGCTCAGCTGGACACAGGAGGAGGCAGGCGCAGCAAGCACATTAAGAGAGGACTGTACCTCACTAGCAATGTCTCTGGAAGCCTTGGCGTGTTTGATGGGAATGGCATCAGCTCTTAAGTCGTAGCTTTTTGCCTTGACCTCATCCCAGGCCTTCTGATAATGTTTCTGCAATGACAAATAATCACCCTTGTTACGCGCAGTCAAGACTCTCCAATAGCAATGCACTTCCTTAAAACCTACTCTGGAAGAGCATTTGTCATAGTCTTAATTTAATAAAGCTTCATAATGATTTTATTGCCTTACATTGCTGATGTTGAGA